TGGGCAACAGAGCGAGATGCTGTCTCAAAAAAAAGTACAAGAGTAGCAATACAGAAAAATGACAGATACAGAATTTTGTACAAGGAAAGAAACCAGTTCTATTCTACCTACTTTTGGGTTGGTAGTAAAATGGGAGATTTTCTCCTTTGTTGTATTTTTTCAAATTTCCTATAATGAGTATAAATTATTTTCTTTTTCTTTTTTGAGATGGAGTTTCGCTCTTGTCGCCCAGGCTTGAGTGCAACGGCGCAATCTCGGCTCACTGCAACCTCTGCCTCCCAGGTTCAAGCAATTCTCCTGCCTCAGCCTCCTGAGTAGCTGCGATTACAGGTGTGCACCACCATGCCTGGTCAATTTTTGTATTTTTAGTAGAGACAGGGTTTCACCATGTTGGTCAGGCTGGTCTCAAACTCCTGACCTCATGATCCACCCACCTTGGCCTCCCAAAGTGTTGGTATCACAGGCATAAGCCACCGTGCCCGGCCTATTATTGCTTAAAGAGGCGGTTTTCACTATGTTGCCCACACTGGCTTTTAACTCCGAGCCTTAGGTGATCTTTCTATTTCACCCTCCTGAGTAGCTGGGACTAAAGGTGTGCACCACTGCTCTTAGCTAGAAGAAAAATAATTATTATTATTTCTGCAGAGATGGAGTCTTGCTGTGTTGCTCAGGATGGTCTCGAACTTCAGGCCTCAATCCTCCTGCCTTAGCCTCCCAAAGTGCTAGGATTATAGGAGTAACCCACCGTGCCCCTTGCTGAAAATTATTTTAAAGTCTATGTCTATGTGTATTCATTCCTTCATTCATTCACTCAGAATCAGGGTCTTGCTCTGTCGCCCAGGCTGGAAGGCGGCAGTATGATCATGGCTCACTGCAGCCTTGAATTCCTGGGCTCAAGTGTTCCTTTCTTGGCCTCCCAAAGTGTTGGGACTACAGGTATGAACCACTGAGCCCAGCCCGTATTTTCAGTTACGCTACACACAGCATTTTGTACTGTTAAACATATATATTTTCCCCTACAACCAGTCTTCACGGTTATCAGTTCTAAGGGTCCAGACAGTTACATGTGTCAATCTCTTGGATACAATTTTTAACCTCCATGTATAGTGTTGCAATGAATGTGCCATTTCCTGCATTTGAAAATGGAGATGTAAGTATCTAACTCATAAGGGTTTTGTGAGGATTAAATGAGTTAATTAAAAGAAAATATAACAAGTACCTAACACACTATTTGACATAATCACTTAGTCAATCAATGGTAGCTTTCGTTAATATCATAGCTTAGCTATTTGCTTCTGCTGAATTATTTCCCTAGGATAAATCTTGGAGGTGAGACTACTAGTTAAAAGGAACTGAAGTCCTTTAATTTTTAAATTTCCTATTAAATTTATCTAATAGGAATTTATTTGCTTAAAATGTAAATTATGTCAATTTAAGGAGAAATTCATTGTAACATAACAGAAATGCTGTCATTTTAAAATTTCCTTAGAAATTTTTAATTTTAAAATTTTCCTAGATTATGCATGACTTTAGATCCAAACAATAAGTTTACATATGTAAAAATATGGCTCCCACCCCCGTAAAGCCATGCTGTTTTCCAAAAGGCTTGCATCAATTTTATTCCTACAATTGTATACACTTTTAATCACTGCCTTGCCAGCAGTGCTATCAACTACTTTTTTCCTGCTAGTCTAGTATGCATAAAACCTCAAGCATGCTTTAAGCTTAAATTCATTTTTCCCCCTATAATTACTCTATGCAAACATTTTTGGTATGCTTAGAGTCGGTATTGCTTTACTGGAAAAATCTCTGTTCATATCCATCATCAGTTTATCTCCTAGTTTTCTTTATTAAAATTAAATTAGCCATTTACTCTTTTTTTTTGAGATGGAGTTTTGTTCTTCTTGCCCAAGCTGGAGTGCAGTGGTGCAATCTTGGCTTACTGCAACCTCCGCCTCCTGCGTTCAGGTGATTCTCCTGCCTCAGCCTCCCAAGTAGCTGGGATTACAGGCACATACCACCACGCCCGGCTAATTTTTGTATTTTTAGTAGAAACAGGGTTTCGCCATATTGGCCAGGCTGGTCTTGAACTCCTGACCTCAAGTGATCTACCTGCCTCGGCCTCCCAAAGTGCTGGGATTATAGACGTGAGCCACTGTGCCCGGCCTAATGAACTATTTACTTGATTCAATTCCACTGAGCATTAGTTTACTTTACACATTTTATAAGTCATGCATTAGTCTGGAATGTTTTGGTGAAAGATGTTGCTATGGACATCATACACAAATTGCTATCAGTTACACTAGCACCAGCCAGGCGTGGTGGCGCACGCCTGTAATCCTAGCATTTTGGGAGGCCAAGGTGGGTGGATCACCTGAGGTCAGGAGTTCAAGACCAGCCTGGTCAACATAGTGAAACCCTGTCTCTAACTAAAAATACAAAATTAGCTGGATGTGGTGGCTCACGCCTGTAATCCCAGCTACTCGGGAGGCTGAGGCATGAGAACGACTTGAACCCCCAGGAGGTGGAGGCTGCAGTGAGCCAAGATCGCGCCACTGCACTACAGCCTGGGCGACAAGGGCGAGACTCCATCTCAAACAAAACAAACACAACAACAATAAACAATTACAGTAGTACCATTTGCTTGTTGCTTGTGGATTCATTTTGAATTGTAATTTTTTTAAGTTTCAAAAATGATTGAGTTCTATAAAAATGTTTATCAAGAGAGGGCACATTGGCTGGGCGCAGTGGCTCATGCCTGTAATCCCAGCACTTTGGGAGGTTGAGGTGGGCGGATCACTTGAGGCCAGGAGTTTGAAACCAGCCTGGCCAACATCGCGAAATCCCGTCTCTACTAAAAATACAAAAGTTAGCCGGATGTGGTGGCTCACACTTGTAATCCCAGCTATTTGGGAGGCTGAGGCAGGAGAATTGCTTGAACCCGGGAGTTGGAGGTTGCAGTGAGCCGGGATCATGCCAGTGCACTCCAGCCTGGGCCACAGAGTGAGAGTCCAACTCAAAAAAAAAAAGGCACACCTTATGTTGAGAGTTTTCTGTTTTTTTTAGAGACAGTATCTTGCTCTGTTGCCCAAACCAGAGGGCAGTGACTTGATCATAGCTCACTGCAATCTCTAATTCCTGAGTTTAAATGATCCTCCTACCCCAGCCTCCCCAGTAGCTAGCACTACAAGCGCATGCCACCATGCCCAGCTAATTTCCTTTTTCTTTTTGTAGTGACAAGGTCTTGCTTTATTGCCCAGGCTGGTCTCAAGCGACCCTCCTGCCTCAGCCTCTCAGAGCGCTGGGATTACAAGAAGAATTTTATTTTATTTTTTTTTGAGACAGGGCCTCACTCTGTCACCTAGGCTGAAATGCCACTGCCGCACAATCATGGCTCACCGTAGCCTTGACCGCTCTAGGCTCAGGTGATCTTCCCGCCTGGGCCTCTCTACGTGCTAGGACTACTGGCGTCAGCTACTGTGCCCAGCCTCGAGGAAAATTTTCCATTTCTGTAGTTTCGCTGCATGTAATAGAATTCTTCTGGAAGTGAGTGCAAATGAATTTAGCAAATGTAATATAAAGAAAAGCACTGGATTAAATGTTAGAAGACTTGCATTCTAGACCTCAATCTACCTCAAACTGGGTATGCTACCCAGAACTATTCCTTTAAGCTCTCTTTGATCAATTTTCCTACCTGCTCTCTCTCTGCTTTGCTCCAGTGACCCCATCTCAGTCAGGCTGAAAGGACTTGTAAAGACATTTCCTTACAAGTACCTAGAGTGTCTAGCAGGCACTCCTCCCCTCAAATTCCTTACTGGTCTCCTCTAGCTCACCCGGCTCCAGGCACCTTGCAAGGAGCAGGGAAACTCGGCTTCAGAGCCTCTTTACTTTCAGGTTCTCTGCCTAGAAGTCCTCTCCATATGTGGAATGCCCTGCCATTCACCTTCTGCAAGTCTTCACTCAAATGTCATTTTCTCAGTGACACTCTCACTGAAGTGGCACAACTCTTTCTGCTTTGTCTCCCTGCCTCCTTACATCCCTTATCATCATCTGACACTGAATTGACTTGTTTACTGTTTCTGTTTACCTGCATGTTAGGTTCACACTGCTGTATCCACAGAATCTAAAAAAAATACCTGGCATTTAGTAGGCACGTAGTAAACACATGTTGGATGAATAACCAAAACTGTAAAATGAGGCCGTCACGCCGGATGGATCATGCATCCCCTTAAGATGAAACTGTGCTGCTACTGGGCCCAGTCTTCTGGCATTACCGTCCTGAGAAGCCCAGCACCACCTTCCGAGGCGTACTCACTTTGCAGGAGCCTGCAGCGGCGGCTTCAGGTTCTCCCTCCTCGTGGACAAGGTCTAACAACTGAAAGCCCGAGTCCCCGGCGGCTTCTGGGTTCCCCGGCGTGTACTCGGACTCCTGGCCGCTCGAGGTGGTCCCCAAGGATCGGCGGCTGGAAACCACCCGGTAGCGGCCCTCCTGCCGGATCTCCCGAGCCGAGGCGCGGAGATTGCAGCGGACACGCTGCTGGCTGTCCCGTGACGGGCGCAGAACTGCCCGCAGGAGAGGCTGGACTGGTTCCTCCTAGGGGGCAACAGGGGAGGGAGGCCAGCGTAAGCAGGAGTTCGCGAGCGGGTCAGGGATCGGGTTTCCTAACGGCTGCACCCTAAGATGCCCTCCACATCACTGCACCACGCCCAATACCTGGGAGCACACAGTGGCCACCAAGTGGAAGACATTATTCTCCGCTGCTCTCTCCAAACTCGCCGACGTCTTCTGTGCCGCCGACTCGACCTCGTCGCTCCGGAGGCGTTTACAAGCGAGCACAAGAGCCTCGGCCGGCTCCGCACTGCGCTTCCGCTTCACCCGCAGCACAGCTGTCCTGCCGGCCTCCATAGTGGCTGCCGCTGAGCATTGTGGGAACGCGCGGGGTGTGATGGGATAGCCTTCTAGTTCTGCCTTGGGACCCGCCCCCCGCCCCCCGCCCCCCGCCCCCCGCACGCTCCTCGGCGCAGATAGATCCCGCCCCGCGTGCTGGACGCGGCAAAATGGTGGTAGCAGAGGAGGCGAGCGAAGCGTTTCCCGTGGCAGGTGAGGCGCTGGGTATGCGGGGAAGGTGGGGTCGCTTTGGGGTTCGGGGTGCAGCCAGCATCATGTCCTTAGCACCAGGGCCTCGGCAGAGGAGCCTGGCGTGGGCGTACTTGGACTCCGGGGACCTTTCTAGAGTCCGCGTGGGGCAGCTCGGAGCACCCTGGCCTGCAGGAGAGCGGGGTTCCAGGCTGGCCCCGGCTCTGCAGTCCAGCCGGGTGCCTGCTGCTCGCGGGGCTGGGTCGCAGTACTGGTGCCTGGAGCCTCCCCTTAGAGACCGCAGTAGCTCCAACCATCGCATCCCTCACTGGGCCACGAGTTCTCTGATTGACCTGCTGATGTCTTCCCGGTTCACTGTGTTCTGAGTAATTGGAGAGTCATGTATTCACTACATGCCAGCCAGAGTGGTTCTGTAAAAGCGTACGTCCAGTGTAGATATGCTTCTGCTTAAAGCTCTTGAGTGGCTCCCACTGCTTTTGGAACAAGATCCAAACTTGTCGACTTTCCAAAGTCGACAAGGCCCAGCTTGATTGAGCAGAAGATGTGATAGGAGATGAGGAATGGGGGCTTCTGCAAAAGTGCTTCGGTCGCTCAGGCTTTTGGCACATTTTGCTTGTGCACCTAGTTCTTTCTACCTTAGGGCCTTTTCTTGGGAAAGTTGGGGTAAGGATTCCTGACCTGTAAAAACTCTTCCCCAACTTTTATCCTGGTTTGTCTTGTAGATCTCAAATGCTACCTTCCTCAAAGAGTCCTTCTGTAACCTTGGTTTTCTCTTTCTACAACGCTCTGTGTATTTCTTGCATTCATGTAGTCTGTAATTTGTATTACTCTCTCATTAGTCTAAGCTCTTGGAGGGCAAGGGTTTTCTCTAGCTTATGGTGGTGGCTCCAGTCCCTAATATAGTGCCTGGCACGTAGAAGGTATTCAGTCAAGTTTGATACTTTATTTTTTCGAGAGAGAGCCTCACTCTGCTGCCTAGGCTGAGTGCAGTGGTATGATCAAGGCGCACTGCAGCCTTGACCTCCTGGGCTCAGGCGATCCTCTCACCTCAGCCTCCAGAGTAGCTGGGACTACAGGCATGCGCCACTATACTCGGCTAATTTTTAATTTTAGTATATGTATATTTAATGTATACATATATATTTTCAAGACAGGGTCTCACTCTGTCACCCAGGCTGGAGTTCAGTGGCGCCATCTCGGCTCACTGCAACCTCCGCCTCCGGGGCTCAAGTGATTCTCCTACCTCAGCCTCCCGAGTAACTGGGACTACAGGCACAGGTCACCGCGCCCGGCTAATTTTTTAAAAAAATTTTTTGTAGAGAACGGGGTCTCACTATGTTGCGCAGGCTGGTCTGGAACTCCCAGATCCGATATCCTTGCGCCTCGGCCTCCCAAAGTGCTGGGATCACAGGTGTGAGCCACCACACCCTAGCAAATACATTTTGAATGAATGTTAAGGACCATCTGCTCTGCAGTTTGACGGGTAATACAATTAGGGCTTGGCATGGTGGTTTCTATTTCCTCCTTGTAAATGGCCATGCGAGTTTACAACTCTTGGAGAATGAGGAGGGGGTCAGAGAATATCTCCTCAATCTGTAGTGTAGACTTCTTCTGGGAGAGGACAAATAATAATGGATGAGGGCATTTAGCCAGAGAAGGTGTGTAGTGCCCACCAGAAGAGGTTCGTGCCTTCATAAAATTGTTAACACAAGACAAGGTTCCAGGTTGGTTGGTTTTTTTTTTGAGATACAGTCTTGCTCTGTTGCCCAGGCTGGAGTGCAGTGGCGTGATCTTGGCTCACTGCAACCTCTGCCTCCCAGGTTTAAGCAATTCTCCTGCCTCAGCCTCCCAAGTAGCAGGGATTGCAGGCACCTGCCACCACGCCCACTAATTTTTTTTATTTTTAGTAGAGATAGGATTTCGCCATGCTGGCCAGACTGGTCTCAAACTCCTGACCTCAGGTGATCCACCTGCCTTGGTCTCCCAAAGTGCTGGGATTATAGGCGTGAGTCACCGCGCCTGGGCTCTTCCAGGTTTTGAAAACACTGTGGTCCTGGTGTTCGACTCAGCAACATCACAGACAGGAAAGGAATCCTATGGATTAAAGTTCTTTACTATACGTTTTTTTTTTTTTCCTCCACTTCAGATAGGTAATGTGCCAGTGTAGTAAAGGTTTGAGGGGAGGCACGTCTGACACAGGCGCATGAACATCCAGTCATCACGCTTGTGAGTTACAAAAGGATCACTCTTAACCTTTAAGTAACTTCAGAATTGATTCCACGTGGACCACAGGATTAGTATTTCAGGACTCTACCATGTGGAGCCTATTGACAATGTTTGACACCTGGTCCAGTTTTACTTCACCAAACTGATTGATTTAATGTGCGTGATTGTCCAAGCCTTTCTAATTGGATGAAATGCCTTCTCCCTCCACATACCCCACCTTCTCCTCGTGCCTCAGCTGAATCCACCTTTTAAGCCTTCCCTGAACATTCAGCTAGGTATGGCCATTTCTTTCTCTAGCATTTGTTGGACACAGTTTTCCAATGCACATTACAGATTCTGATAGTTCTAAATATTCTATCTGTAAAATAAGTATTAGTACGAGATAAAGTGGATTATAGCAATGCTGTTAAACTGCTGGTTGCAACCCATTGATGGGTCCTGACCAGCAAGTAAAAGTGCAGCTGGGTGCTGTGGTGCATGCCGGTAGACTAGCTACTTGGGAGGCTGATGTAGGAGGACCTTGAGTCCAGGAGTTCAAGGCTGTAGAGTATAATATCATGCCTGTGAATAGCCACTGCACTACAGCCTGGACAGCGGGGAGATCCCATCTCTTAAAAACAGCGGAAATGGCCGGGCGCGGTGGCTCAAGCCTGTAATCCCAGCACTTTGGGAGGCCGAGGCGGGCGGATCACAAGGTCAGGAGATCGAGACCACAGTGAAACCCCGTCTCTACTAAAAATACAAAAAATTAGCCGGGCGCGGTGGCGGGCGCCTGTAGTCCTAGCTACTCAGGAGGCTGAGGCAGGAGAATGGCGTGAACCCAGGAGGCGGAGCTTGCAGTGAGCCGAGATCGCGCCACGGCACTCCAGCCTGGGCAACAGCGTGAGACTCCGTCTCAAAAAAAAAAAAAAAAAACAGCGGAAATGAGGCCGGGCGCGGTGGCTCAAGCCTGTAATCCCAGCACTTTGGGAGGCCGAGACGGGCGGATCATGAGGTCAGGAGATCGAGACCATCCTGGCTAACACGGTGAAACCCCGTCTCTACTAAAAATACAAGAAAATTAGCCGGGCGAGGTGGCGGGCGCCTGTAGTCCCAGCTACTCGGGAGGCTGAGGCAGGAGAATGGCGTGAACCCCGGGGAGCGGAGCTTGCACTGAGCCGCGATCGCGCCACTGCACTCCAGCCTGGGGCACAGAGCAAGACTCCGCGTCAAAAAAAAAAAAAAAAGCGGAAATGAAATAGAGCGTATCAGAGGGCCTTGTTCGTAGGAAGTCAGTATTGTTTCGTGGAACTTTTAGTTACATGCGTATATGCAGGTGTGTGTATTGAGGCTCATTGTAAAGTATATTTCTTACTGGGGTTATCAGAAAGTTTGAAGGCCATTAGACTGGGGATAGGTATGCTGGGATTTTAAAAGTAGAGTTTTACCTGGACAAATTGTCTACTTTGAACCTGACTGTCTGACTGTGTTTGTTCAGGGAAGGTTGTTTCTAATCTATTTGCTTTTTTTTTTTTTTTTTTTTTTTGAGACGGAGTCTTGCTCTGTCGCCCAGGCTGGAGTGCAGTGGCCGGATCTCAGCTCACTGCAAGCTCCGCCTCCCGGGTTTATGCCATTCTCCTGCCTCAGCCTCCCGAGTAGCTGGGACTACAGGCGCCCGCCACCTCGCCCGGCTAGTTTTTTGTATTTTTTAGTAGAGACGGGGTTTCACCGTGTTAGCCAGGATGGTCTCGATCTCCTGACCTCGTAATCCGCCTGTCTCGGCCTCCCAAAGTGCTGGGATTACAGGCTTGAGCCACTGCGCCCGGCTGCTTTTTTGTTTGTTTTGGGGACGGAGTCTTACTCTCTCGCCCAGGCTGGAGTGCGGTGGCACGGTCTCGGCTCACTGCAACCTCTGCCTCCCGGGTTCAAGCGATTCTCCTGCCTCAGCCTCCCGAGTAGCTGGGATTACAGATGTGCGCCACCATACCTGGCTAATTTTTGTAGTTTTAGTAGAGACGGGGTTTTACCATGTTGGCCAGGCTGGTCTTGAACTCCTGACCTCAGGTGATCCGCCTGCTTTGGCCTCCCAAAGTGCTGGGATTATAGGTGTGAGCCACCGAGCCCAACCTGTTTCTCATCTATTTGTGTAAGAATTCCATGTTTACTTACTAGTAAACTTTTTTACTTGCTAGTATTAGCTGGGAGTAGGGCACTCACTTGTAGTTCGAGCTACTGGAGAGGCTGAGGCAGGAGGAATGCTTGAGCCCAGGAGTTTGAGTCCAGCCTGGGCAATATAACGAGACCCCGTCTTAAGAAGAATGGTAATATCATGAACATTTATGTTCCCACCACCCAGTTTAAGAAAAAGAACAATACTTTTGAAGTGTGCTGTGTACCCCTCCTTGATCCCATCTCTCCCTTCTCTTTTAGAAGTGAACTGTCCTGATTCCCTGCTATGCTTTTTAGTGTGATTCCTGAAGAAGGTATCATTCCATTTTGCATAGTTATAAATTTTATAGCAATGGAGTCGTATTGCATGTGTTGTGTGATTTGCTGTTTTTGCTCGTCATATTCCTGGCGTTATCCATTTTTAGGTTTATGTGTTGCTGTGATTTATTGTTTAGATGAAAGTTTTCCTGGTTTGACTTGCTCTATCTTCATATTTTTCCTTAAGCTAAGGGTTCAGGATACAAAGGCGGTATTGGTGGCACTTCTTTACCAGCACCCCATCTCTTCTCCTCCTAGCCTTGAGGGCTGCACCTGGATGAACCTGTGAGGCTCATTTGACCCTTTTGGAAGCACCGAAGCCTGCTGAAGTTTCCAGACATCTGTATAAATCTGTTGTAGTTTTTTAAATGTTATACGCTGGATATAAAACCAAGTAACTCCTGCTGGAAACATTTACAATATTGATTAACAAATACTGTCAGTGGCTTTGACATTTTTGTCAGTTTCTTGATTTTCCCCCCACTTTTTGTCTCCCCTCCCCTCCTCCACATTTTGGGGCATTATGCTGTTAATAGGTTTTTTTCTGTTCGTTTGTTAATACACCTCCTGTTTCCTTCTGATGTTAATAGGTTTCTGACAGTCAGACTTGTCCACAAGAACTCAACTGGCAAGGCTGCTTTTCTGTGCTAAAACTGGGGAGCTGGTGGGCACCATGAAGATCTTCTGCAGTCGGGCCAATCCGACCACGGGGTCTGTGGAGTGGCTGGAGGAGGACGAACACTATGATTACCACCAGGAGATTGCAAGGTACTGGCTTGGTTTATAGCAGGCTGCAGCTGGGTGGGGCACTGATCTCAAAGCAGATGCCTTGGGATCCAGTCTGAGCGTGGGCTAGAGTGTCACCCAGTGCTTATGATGAGTGCTGGTGTTGGTGCTGAGCAGGTCTGCTCAGCCAGGTAGGTATATGTGGCAGTTAGGCAAAGTCATGCTTGTTTGGAGTGTCAGACATTATGTAGCAGCCTTAGCAGAGCCTCAGCATCTGTTTAGTGGAGCAAAGAAAACCCAAGCCTCAGTAGTGTTCATGAAGTTGAATCATTTACTTGCCTTACTGAAATGGTGACAGTGTTCATCATATGGTTAAATTCTCTTGAATGAAAAAAAATGAGATTTTTTTTTCCCTTAGAAGAAATATTTAAAAGTATGTGAGTTGTTGGCCAGGCACAGTGGCTCATGCCTGTAATTCTAGCACTTTGGAGGCTGAGGTGGGCAGATCACCTGAGATCAGGAGTTTGAGACCAGCCTGGCCAACATGGAGAAACCTAGTCTCTACTAAAAATACAAAATTAGCCGGGCATTGTGGCTCATGCCTGTGATCCCAGCTTACTTGGGAGGCTGAGACAGGAGAATTGCTTGAACCTGGGAGGCAGAGGTTGTGTTGAGCCAAGATCGCACCATTGCACTCCAGCCTGGGCAACAAGAGCAAAACTCTGTCTCAAAAAAAAAGTATGTGAGTTGTTATGTAGCAATCGTTAAGTGCATTCGGTGTGCCAGCATTGTGCTAAGGCTGTGGATACCAGATGAGGAAGATCCCGTTCTCATCTTCAAGGACTATGCAGTTTTGTGGAAGAGACGGGCACATAAAAAATTATAGCACAAAGGCCGGCACGGTGGGTCATGCCTGTAATCCTAGCACTTTGGGATCACTTGACGGTCAGCAGTTCGAGACCAGCCTGGCCAACATGGTGAAACCCCGTCTCTACACAAAAAAAATTAGCTGGGAGTGGTGGTGGGTGCCTGTAATTTCCAGCTACTTGGGAGGCTGAGGCAGGAAAATCACTTGAACTCGAGAGGTGCAGGTTGCAGTGAGCCGAGGTTGTGCCACTGCACCCCAGCCTGGGTAACAGAGTGAGATTCTGTCTCAAAAAAAAAAAAAAAAAGATTACAGCACGGTGAGATAAAGGCACAAAAGGTCATGGAAGCAACAAGAACCAGCTGGACTTGGGGTGGGAGGTAATGTTTGAATAATTTCTCAGTTCTAAAGGAAGAGAAGCTGAAGTCTGAGCTGTAGGGATTACATGTAAGCTTTCAGATGGGCCAGTTTGTGACTGGGTGCAGTGGCCCACACCTGTGGTCCCAGCTACTTGGGAGGCCAAGGCAGGAGGATTGCTTGTGCCCATGAGTTCAAGTCCAGCATGGGCAACATAGTAAAACCCTGTCTCACAAACAGGAAAAAAAAGACCAAAAACAGGCCGGACACTGTGGCTCACGCCTGTAATCCCAGCACTTTGGGAGGCCAAGGTGAGCGGGAGTTCGAGGTTGAGGTCCGTCCTGAGGTCGGGAGTTCAAGAACAGCCTGACCAACGTGGAGAAACCCAGTCTCTACTAAAAATACAAAATTAGCTGGGCGTGGTGGCACACGCCTATAATCCCAGCTGCTCGGGAGGCTGAGGCAGGAGAATCACTTGAACCGGGGAGGCAGAGGTTGCCGTGAGCTGAGATCGTGCCATTGCACTCCAGCCTGGGCAACAAGAGCGAAACTGTCTCAAAAAAAAAAAAAAAACCCACAAAAAAGCAGATGGGCTAATTTGGGGAGCAGCTAGCAGTTTAGCGTGTTTGGAGTGTGGTGCAAAAGTACTATGGTAAGAGAGGCTGCTGAAAGCATAGGCGGGGTCATTCTGTAAAGGATGGTAGCAAAATGCAGGAAGAGGAACACGAGTTTAAGTCCGAGCTCTGCCACTTCTCTACTCTCTTGGCCAAGTTACTTCTCTGAGCCTTAATCTAACATAATATATACTTCAATATGATAATACATTGTCTCACAGTGTAATACAATTATCTTAGAATTGTTTGATGATTAAGTGTAATACAGTGTCTGGTGCAGAATTAGGGCTTAAAATTTTTTTTTTTTGAGACGGAATCTTGCTCTGTCGCCCAGGCTGGAGTGCAGTGGCGTGATCTCGGCTCACTGCAAGCTCCGCCTCCCAGGTTCACGCCATTCTCCTGCCTCAGCCTCCCGAGTAGCTGGGACTACAGGCGCCTGCCGCCATGCCCGGCTAATTTTTTGTATTTTTAATAGAGACGGGGTTTCACTGTGTTAGCCAGGATGGTCTCCATCTCCTGACCTCATGATCCGCCTACCTCGGCCTCCCAAAGTCCTGGGATTACAGGTGTGAGCCACTGCACCTGGCCAGAGCTTAAAATATTTCTAAACATTTTGGACATTTTCTTGTTTTGTTTTTGAGACGGAGTCTTGCTCTGTTGCCCGGGCTGGAATGCAGTGGCGCAATCTCGGCTTCTTGCAATCTCTGCCTCCCAGGTTCAAGCGATTCTCTTGCCTCAGCCTCCTAGGTAGCTGGGATTACAGGCACCTGCCACCACACTTGGCTAATTTTTCCATTTTTAGTAGAAATGGGAGTTTCACCTCTTGGCCAGCCTGGTCTTGATCTCCTGACCTCAGGTGATCCACCTGCTTCTGCCTCCCATAGTGCTGGGATTACAGGTGTGAGCCACTACAGCTGGCCTGGACATTATTTTCTAAGTGATATATTAAACAGGAGAGAAAGAGGATTGGATTGCATTTTGGAACACTCACTGAGAGCAGCATGGAGAGGAGAGCATTTGGGGATATTACAGTCCCAGAGCTGCATAGTCCCAGAGGAGACAGCTCAGGGGAGCTTGAGTTTGGTAACTCACTGCATATGATGGAGGGAGAGAGAAGATTCAAGAAGTACAACGACTTCTGGTTAGAATGACAAAGTGGATGGGACTGCAAGGGAGAACCCAGGAGGAATGGGTGGCGTGGGGGAGAGGAACACGATAGAGATCAGGTGTTTAAGTTTGGACATCCACATAGAGATGCCAGTGGCAGGTAGAATTTTGGGTCTAGAGACAGAATTTCTAGTTGTTAGAATTGAAACTGGGAGTGGTTGCTGTCTCTCAAGGGGGTGTGAAATACGAAAGGTAGAGGGTTGAAGAAGGAATCCCGGAATAGCTGAGGAGGCAAAAGGAGAAGGGCGAGGGAGATGGCCAGCGTGGAAAGGAAGAAAGAGGGAATGTCTAGCAGGGTCAGAGGCACTGGGAAGTCCCAGATCCTGATGACTGACATCAGCTGCAGGAGTGAGCTGGTGGCGGTTACCGAGAGTGATGTCAGTGGAATGATGGGCAGCAAGTGTGTGAAGAGACCAGGAAGGTGGTGAGTGAGATGCCTTTTAAATAGTGAGCAGAGGTAGAAATGACTACATTCCAGTTAAGCATCCATAGCTGACTTCAGATATAAAACCTTGACATGCCATTTAAAAAAAAATCCCCCTTCTTTCGGTGCACCGCTCCTCAAAGTGTGGAATGTGGGCCGCCTGTGACACAATTGCCTGGAGCACGTTAGCCCAGCCTTCTCAATGAGAGAGAGTGTGTGTGTGGGGGGGGGGGGGAGGGGGGGCAGGGGGGTGGGGGACTCTGCATTTCAAGTAAGCTTTCTGGTGATTCTGGTGTTGACCCAAGGCGGGAGGGCCTCTGTTTTAGTGTGAGCTCCTTAGCTGTCCCCTAGAATTCCCAGAAAGCGTGGGAGGGCCTGCCTAGTTTTGGGTGCTCATCCCGACCCCGCCTGAGTTTCAATGTGTGAATTACTGCAATAGGAAATATGGAGAAGTGACTCTCCTCCCCTTAGAACGGTATTGGTGAACTCTTAGTTTTCCCTGATGATGTTAAGTGAACATACCCAGTGGGGTACCTGTTACATATACAGTGGGTGTATGTGAGTACTTCTCTTTCCCCAGCTGCTCTCCCTAATATTACATCAATGGTTATCCCCAGGCACACATGTACGCAAGGTTAGGTCAAGTATTAGGAAGATTGAGTCTGAGTTTTTCCTGAGGAGGAAAATGTATAGCATATAACAAGATCAGGACGCTAGTGGCTGTGGAATTACTGTGACAGGGCTAACTGCTGAGACCAGCTCAGTAGTGGAGACCCTAACCCAGCGGTGCTAGAGGAATTAAAGACACACACACACATATAGGGTGTGGAGTGGGAATCGGGGCTGACAGCCTTCAGAGCGGAGAGCCACAAACAGAGTTTTACCTACTCATTTATTGACAGCAAGCCAGTGATAAACATTGTTCCTATAGATTATAGATTAAAACAGGGGAACAAAGGGATGGGTCTGGCTAGTTATCTGCAGCAGGCACATGTCCTTGAGGCACAGACCGCTCATGCTATTGTTTGTAGTTGAGAAACACCTTAAGCGAAAACCGCCCTGGGTGGGCCAGGTGTCCCTTGTCCTCATTCCGGTAAACCCACAACCTTCAGTGTGGGTATGGTAGCCATCAAGAGCATGTCACAGTGCTGCAGAGATTTTGTTAATGGCCAGTTTTGGGGCCTGTTCCCAACAGCTAACTACTGGAGCATTTTTAGGTCTGAGAACATCTTTCTCTGAGACTTTTTTCTGCAGCACTAGAGAACAACAACTTAAAACTCTATTAAAATAAAGTGGCCAGGTACAGTGACGGATGCTTGTAGTTCTGCTGAGGCAAGAGGATCTCTTGAGCTAAGGAGTTCAAGACTGCAGTGCCCAATGATTGAGACTGTTCATAGCCATTATACTCCAGCGTGGGTGACATAGCAAGACCCTGTTTTTAAAAATAAACAAAAAAATAGGCCAGGCGCGGTGGCTCACACCTGTAATCCCAGCACTTTAGGAGGCCGAGGCTGGCGGATCATTCGAGGTCAGGAGTTCAAGACCAGCCTGGTCAACATGGTGAAACCCCATCTCTAATGAAAATACAAAAATTAGCCAGGCATGGTGGTGAGTGCCTGTAATCCCAGCTCCCTGGGAGGCTGAGGCATGAGAATCGCTTGAACTTGGGAGGCAGGTTGCAGTGAGCTGAGATTGCGCCACTGCACTCCAGCCTGGGTGATAGGGTGAGACCCCCCCCCCCCAAAAAAAAAAGACAACAAAAAGTAGTTTAAAATAGATGACAGGTTTGTTCTATTTGTTTAGGAATGTGTTTATATATGTGAATACTCTTGTGTGTTGATGTGTATCATGCAAAGGTTGCTGACCTGTCTTTTTTGTTTTTTAGGTCCTCCTATGCAGATATGCTACATGACAAAGACAGAGTAAGTGTAAAAGGAAACTATTATCTTGATGTGGGGGTGTTTTGAAGTCTTGGATTACAAGAAGGTTAAAAATCCCTGGGGGTCATGATGTTAAATGACACTGAGAGGCAGTAAGGTGTAGTGGTCAGGAAATCTGTGGAGAGGCTGGGTCCTGCTTCTGGCTCTGTTTTTTTTGTTGTTGTTGTTTAATCTCCCAGCTTTATCAAGATGAAAATTGTCTATGTTTATGGTATACAATGTGATGAATGTATGTGTATGGTATGAAGTGATTAAATCAAGCTAATGAACATGTCTACCACCTCATACTTTTTTGTGTGTGGTGAGAACATTTAAGATCTACTCGCTTAGTAATTTTTAAGTGTACATTATTAACTATAGTTCACCATGCCGTACAGCAGATACCCAGACCTTATTCATCCTGTCTAACTGAAACATCAGATCCTTTCCCTCAGCGGGTACCATTCTCTGGGTTTCTGTGAGTTCAACTTTTTTTTTTTTTTGAGTCAGATTCTTACTGTCACCCAGGCTAGAGTGCAGTGGCGAGATCTCAGCTCACTGCAACCTCAGTCTCCTGGGTTCAAACGATTCTCCTGCCTCAGCCTGCCTAGTAGCTGGGATTACAGGTGTGTGCCATGACACCTGGCCTTCACTGTAGTTTTAATTGCCATTTTTAATTTTAATTTTATTTTTTGAGACAGGGCCTCTGTTGCCCAGTGCAGTGGTGTGAGCTTGGCTTCACTGCAGCCTCGACTTCCCGGGCTTAAGCGAGCCCTCAACCTCAGCCTCCCCGGTAGCTGGGACTACAGGCACACCACCACGCCCGGCTAATTTTTATATGTTTTGTAGAGATGGAGTTTCGCCATGTTGCCCAGGCTGGTCTTGAACTCTTGAGGTCAAGTGATCCACCCGCCTCGGCCTCCCAAAGTGCTGGGATTATGGGCATGAGCCACCGTGCCCGGCCATCAAATACCTTTTCATGTGCTTATTTACCATGCGTATATCTTTGGCATAGTCTAGGGTTATGAACATAGGTGTGATTCTTGATAGACACTGCCACATTGCCTTCAAAAAGGGTTCCAGTTTCACTGTAGAATCTTCAAAACTGGGTCATTAAAAAGTGACAGCTAATTTAATGGCATCGTTAAAGTGACAGCTGTGCCATCCCTGGTTTGCAATTGAGGATACTGTTCATCAATTTTTTTTTTAACTTAAAAAATAAATAAAACAAGGCCTGGCACGGTGACTCATACTTGTAATCCCAGCACTTTGGGAGGCCGAGGTGGGCGGATCATGAGGTCAGGAGATCGAGACTATCCTGGCTAACACGGTGAAACCCCATCTCTACTAAAAATACAAAAAAAAATTAGCCAGGCGTGGTGGCGAGCAGGGCCTGTAGTCCCAGCTACTTGGGAGGCGGAGGCAGGAGAACGGTGTGAACCCGGGAGGCGGAGCTTGCAGGGAGTAGAGATGCTGCCACTGCACTCCAGCCTGGGTGACAGAGGGAGACTCCGTCTCAAAAAAAAAAAAAAATTGTGGTAAAAACACGTAACATAAATGTACCATACTGATGGTATCCAAGACATAAATGCACATGCTTTAACAGTGAAATAGTTCTATAAGATATTTCTGTGAAAAATATTTCACCCAGACTAAACATTTTTGTGCTTTACTTCAGAGGCAACATCATTTCTTCTTCTTCTCTTTTTTTTTTTTTTTAAATGAGAATGAGTCTCCCTCTGTTGCCAGGCTGGAGTGCAGTGGTGCAATCTCAGCTCACTGCAACCTCCACCTCCCGAGTTCAAGTGATTCTCCTGCCTCAGCCTCCCGAGTAGCTGGGCTTACAGGCGTGTGCCACCACACCTGGCTAATTTTTTGTATCTTTAGTAGAGACGGGGTTTCACCATGTTGGCCAGGCTGGTCTCCAACTCCTGACCTCAGGTGATCCACCTGCCTCAGCCTCCCAAAGTGCTGGGATTACAGTTGTGAGTCACCGCACCATGCCTGGTAATTCTAAAGAATATTCAGTTCTAGATATTTTCTAATTCCTCTCTGATTTAGTCTTTTGCCTATCTTAGAAGTGTGTTTCTTAATGTTCGAAAATTTTTTTTTCTTTAGTTGTGTTTCTGATACTAAGATTTCTAATTTGTTTTGCATTGTGGTCAGAGAATATCGCCCTTTTGATGCCAGTTCTGTATTAGCTGTCTACTGTTATTTAACAAATTACCTTAAATTTTAATAGCCTCTTAATATTTCTTACTAATTTGGCAGGTCATCAGTCTATTTAAAAGATTTGCACATATTTTTTCCATCATCTTTAGCTATTTTCAACAGAAGGGTCACTGTGCCTATTGAGTCAGACTGTTATAGATGAAAGATGTATCTGTTTACGTTACTAAAGAAGAACTAAAAATCTTCAAGATGCAAAGAAGTTATTTTCTGATGGGGAAAATACTTTTTAGTCAAGCTCTCTGAGTTAAGAGTCGGTAAAGGGGCCGGGCGCGGTGGCTCACGCCTGTAATCCCAGCACTTTGGGAGGCCAAGGCAGGCGGATCATGAGGTCAGGAGATCGAGACCATCCTGGCTAACACAGTGAAACCCAGTCTCTAATAAAAAAAAATACAAAATTAGCCGGGCGTGGTGGCGGACGCCTGTAGTCCCAGCTACTCAGGAGGCTGAGGCAGGAGAATGATATGAACCTGGGAGGTGGAGGTTACAGTGAGCCGAGATCACGCCACTGCACTCCAGCCTGGGTGACAGAGCAAGACTCCGTCTCAAAAAAAAAAAAAAAAAAGAGTCGGTAAAGGAAAATAGAAGCCACATTACATATGCAACAGAGGGACTTTAATGCAAGGAGCTGGTTACCCAGCTGTCGGAGGGCTAGAAAGCAAATGGGAACGCTGAGTAACCTAGCAGTAGAGACTGTAGGGAACAGTTACCTTGCCTAGGACTGAGAAACTAAATGAGAAGATTAGGGTTTCCAGAAGCCACAAGCATTGAGGAGAGATCCTGTGGACCACTGTCCAAGTATGGCTGCAGCTCTGAGGGACCCAAGGAGCTGGTTATGGGATCACTGGGAGAAGCTGGAGTCTGCAATTAACTGCCCCTACCGAGAGGACCCTGATGAGAGCAGCAGCATGCAGAAAGGAGCAAGCCTACTCTGTCCTCCTGCCTTCCAGTCGCCCTCTTGGTCCTCCTCTTGGCTGAACCTAACAGTTGGAAAAAGGAGAACATGGTTTACAGGGCTCTGGCATCACTTAGTAGAGGATAGAAGAGTGAGTGAGGAGCAGGGACAGTCGCTTAATAAAGGGCAAGGGGCTGACTCACAAGGCCTGCCCAACTCAGCCAGTGCTGTTCTGCCAGGGGCCAGAAAGGCCACAGGGCCCTGACTTGCACGGCTGCTGCCAGCTGTGACTCTAGAACTTTGCAAAGCACCTTTCCACTTACAATAACTGGCAGTAAGTGACGGCCATGTCTTCCTTAGAATATAAAATACTACCAAGGTATCCGGGCTGCCGTGAGCAGGGTGAAGGACAGAGGACAGAAGGCCTTGGTTCTCGACATTGGCACTGGCACGGGACTCTTGTCAATGATGGCGGTCACAGCAGGCGCCGACTTCTGCTATGCCATCGAGGTAAGTCACCCCCTTCAGATGTGTGTCCTGCATCTTGCATGGGAAATCTCCTATGCTCTTGGACTTTACCTATCTGTTCCTTCACAGACATTCGTGGAGTGCTCTCTTTGTGCCAAGCACAGAGTGTATAGAGATGAGTTAGACACAGTTCCTTCCTCCAGTGGCTAGTTTTCTCCTCTGTCAGCCTAGGCTGCACATCAGAATCACTAGGAGCCTTGGAAAATACTTACAGGCTGGGCACAGTGGCTCACATCTGTAATCCTAGCACTTTGGATGGCTGAGGCAAGAGAATTCCTTGACCCCAGGAGTTTGAGACCAGCCTGGGCAACATGTGAGATCCCATCTCCACAGAAAAACTTTTAAATATTAGCTGGGCATGGTGGCACATGCCTGTGTTCCAGCTATTCTTGAGGCTGAGCCCAGAAAGGCAAGGCTGCAGTGAGCCACAATTTGGACTTTATGTGAGAAAGCAAAAAATTACTTCTACCGTGTTTAAGCCAGTTATTGTGGGACTTTGTTGATTCCAACGAATCAGTATATGAACTCAGTTTTGTAGGGGAAAGTATTTAAATACATGCCCCCACACCACCACACTCCAGCCTGGGTGACAGAGTGAGACTTTATCTCAAAAAAAATCAAAACAAAACAAAGTCTAGGCACAGTGTCTCACCCCTGTAATCCCAGCACTTTGGGAGGCTGAGGCGAGTGGATCATGAGGTCAGGAGTTCAAGACCAGCCTGACTAACATGGTGAAACCCCATCTCTACTAAAAATATAAAAATTATCCGGGCATGGTGGTGCACACCTGTAATCCTAGCTACTTAAGAGGCTGAGGCAGGAGAATCGCTTGAACCCAGGAGGCAGAGGTTACAATGAGCCAAGATCGTGCCACTGCACTCCAGCCTGGGTGACACAGTGAGACTCCATCTCAAAACAAAACAAAGCAATCTTATGCCTAGTCCCCACCCCTAACAGATTTTGATTTAACTTTTCTGGGGCGAGGCCTGAGCCTTGGGACTTTGGAATGTGCGGCAAGGTTGAGGACCACTACCTTCAATGTCCCTGCAGAGCCAGCTCTCTTATGTTTACCAATTTGTCATCTCTTTAATAAAACATGAAGCAGTTTGAGCCCACAGAGCGAGAAAAATTAAAAACCAAAATTAAAAATTAAACATGTTATTTTTCTCAAACAAATAATGCATATTATTGTAGGAAAGTTGGCAAATACCAAATAAAAATAGTATGTTGACTCAAAGTTAAGTACCGTTAACATTTTTATGTATATTCTTCTGAGTTTTGGGGGCAGGCAGGGAGCATGATATAAATACTTTCCCTACAAAACTGGGTTCCTGTAGTGATTGAGTTGGAAATAAAGCCTCAAAATTACAGTGACTTAAACAAGGTAGTTTTTTGCTTTTTAGTGGCGTGATCTCTACTCACTGCAACCTCCGCCTCCTGGGTTCAAGCAGTTCTTTTGTCTCAGCCTCCCAAATAGCTGGGATTACAGGTGTGTACCACTGCACCTGGCTAATTTTTGTATTTTTAGTAGAGATAGGGTTTCACCGTGTTGGCCAGGCTGATCTTGAACCCCTGACCTCAGGTGATCCTCCCACCTTGGCCTCCCAAAGTGCTGGGATTACAGGTGTGAACTACTGCGCCCTGCCTTGTTTCTTTTTTAAAAGGAAGACTAACTTTCCCAGGAATTTCTATTATAGCAAACCTCTGCTGGGGTACCATCGGCTAGAATGAGGTTAAATCTTATTCAGGGATTCAGTTACTCTTAGCTCAGACAAGTGCACCACTGCAAAGGTCAGTTCCCCACACTGTACCCTCACCTGATTTCAGGGGAGAGGGAGGACAGAGTGGATGTCGGGAAGTCATCTTCAGTGTCCACTCCTGGTAGTGTTTTGGGTGAGATCCTGAGCGGCTGAGGAGGAGGTGTGAAGGTACCAGCCTGCAGGTTCAGGGAGAGGTGACTGATGAGTCAGAAGGCAGCAGGGATGAGGGACGACACTGGCTTTGGATATTGTCAGGGTGGAGGCAAAGTGATTGGTGAGAACCAGGGTTTAAGGCCCTCAAACCACATCTAAAAACATCAAGGCAAATCCTAGAAATGATTTGAACTAGATGATGATGATTTTTCTAGCAGAACGTATGTGTGTATTCCATGTAAGTACTGCACGCTAATCAATTGTGAAACTGGAGCTGCTCACGTATGTACTTGTACTCTTTACGAAAGGATACAGCATCTGTCCCTCGATTGTAGTCAAAAACATAGGTATTCATGGTAGAAAATGTGGGAAATACAGAAAAGGATTTTGAAAACATGAAAATCTTACCAGGATCAGTCTCGTTATCATTTTGTTGTTTCCACTCCGTGTGAGGGGCCACATGTGAGTCTGTGTGTTTTACGTGCTAGAGCTCTTGGGGCTGTGGAATCTAAACTGGATAAATTGAAAACAAAGAGTTGGAGGTGCTTATTTATGTTCAGGGAGACGAAGAGTTCAGGAAGGATTTCTGTACTGGGGATTCATGCTGCCCTGGGAAGTGGGGTTTGATTTGACAGGTGGGGCTGGGACAGGGAAGGCTCAGGCTTGCCTAGTGATCATGAGATCAGTGTGGCTGGAGCGTTGGTTGTTGGGGGAAAGGGGAAGGAAGGCTGGGAAGGTAAGGGAGGGCCTCCAAAGCAGTAGTTCCTCCTTATCTATGGTTTCACTTTTCGTGATTTCAGTTATCTGTGGTCAACTGAGGTCCAAAAATATTAAATGGAGCCAGATGCGGTGGCTCAGCCTGCAATCCCAGTACTTTGGGTGGCTGAAACAGGTGGAACCCTTGAGTCCCAGAGTTGGAGACCAGCCTGGGCAACATGGTGAAACCCCGCCTCTACAAAAAGTTGCTGGGCATGGTGGTCTATGCCTGTAATCCCAGCTACTCGGGACGTTGAGGCGGGAAATTGCCTGAGCCTGGGAGGTGGAAGCTGCGGTGAACTGTGATCATGCCACTGCACTCCAGCCTGGACAACAGAGCGAGACCCTTCTCAAAAAAAGAAAATTAAATGGAAAATTCCAGAAATTATTTGTAAGTTGTAAATTGTGTGCCATTCTGAGTATTATTACGTAATTGTTCTATTTTTAGTTATTAATCTTTTATTGTGCCTAATTTTTAAATTAAACCTGGTCATAGGTAAGCTTGGAGGCTGGAGCAGTTCCACCATGAATGCTAATCCTCCACGCTGACTTCTGACCAACCCCGGCTTCAGGAATGCCTCTAAAATTTCCACTCTCATGCACTTTGATGTAAATCCTGCCCTCAGGTCAGAACAACTTTGATGTTATCATAAATACATACTTGCCATAAATCCTGCCCTTAGTCAAATTTGCTGTGGTATGTAAGTCCTGCATGTGAGCCATAACAGTGTGGGGGCCCAGTGTCTCACTGCCCGAGACAAGGCTTATGTTTGTACATTCCTATAAAATGTGTCTTTCTGAGAAGCTGGGTTTGCCAGTCTCTTTCCTCAACCTCTCGGCTCCCATGACCTCTTGGGGTAGGTTTACATAGAGCTGCCCACCACGGAACAGTATGTGTGTATGCATAGCAAAAAGAAAAAAAAAAATTAAGGTATATATAGGGGTCAGTACTATCTGAGGTTTCAAGCATCCACCAAGGGTCTTAAAATATATCCCCCATGGACAAGAGGCACTGCTGCACTGTAAGAAAATGTAGGCTGTGTTCTGCCAACATTGGGGATTTGGGACAATTTTGAGCCTAGAGGATGACCTGCTTACTCACACCTGCAGTCTTGCTCTCCTCTGGAGGGCACAGCACGTCTCCCAGGTTTACAAGGCAAGTCCCTTTCCTGACTTTTTGGCGTCTCCTTGGTGTGGCACTGACACCTACTGCTCTTGCTAAGTAGTGCAGCCTCCTCGGGATCCCCGGCAACCCCGCTGTGCCTGGCGCAGAATGGGAGGCCCTAACCACAAGTTAAAGCCAGCTGACTCTCAGCCCTTTTTCATGATGCATATTTGGAGAGTAAAGTATTTGAGTTACGTATCTTAGGACCAGAATCAAGCAATAGCTTGCTCACCTTAAAGGTCAGACTACTGTTTAATTTATTGCTCACTTTTCCTTGGGTTTTGGCTCTGTTTTCTAGGTTTTCAAGCCTATGGCTGATGCTGCTGTGAAGATTGTGGAGAAAAATGGCTTTAGTGATAAGATTTTGGTTATCAACAAGCATTCCACTGAGGTGACTGTAGGTCCAGGTGAGATCTACACATCCTGTGTTGAAAGCTTTGCTTGCCCTTGTGTGAGAGAGGAAAAGGTTATTCCAGTTACCTGGAACAAATCCAGGTCAGAGCATAGAAATGGGGCCTCTCTGTGTGGAGCTCCCTTCAATAAGGACTTGGTTTCTCTTGATGTTTATTTTCCTGCTAGTTAAAACTAGCCAGCAAGGAGTAGACTAGAGCTAGTCAGGTCCAGCAGTGGAGACGCAAACAAAGCCTGCATTTGCTTTAAGCAAGTTGGAATTCTTATGGGGCTCAACTCTAGAGTTTCAACTACCAATAATCATGCCTTCGATAAACCTCATTGGCTATGATACTGCCACTGTGCAAAGCTCAACTCTAAGTTTCATCAGGTAGAGAGTACTTAGTTCTGACATCCTGCCTCTGCATACAACATGAACGATTTTCCTGTATTACATTGTCTCTTAAGGTTTCCAGAATGTGTGTATGTACACATACACACACACACATATATATATTTTATATATATATATATTTTATATATATATATATATTTTTTTTGAGACGGAATCTCACTGTGTCACCCAGGCTGCGTTGCAATGGTGCAGTCTTGGCTCACTGCATCCTCCACCTCCCAGGTTCAAGTGATTCTCCTGCCTCAGCCTCCCAGGTAGCTGGGATTACAGGTGCCTGCCACCATGCCTGGCTAATTTTTGTATTTTTAGTAGAGACAGGGTTTCACCATGTTGGCCAGGCTGGTCTTTAACTACTGACCTTAAGTTATCCATCTGCCTCGGCCTCCCAAAGTGCTGGGATTACAGGCTTGAGCCACCGCACCCAGCCCAGAATATTTTTTATAGTCTAGAACTTTGTTTCAGTCATTGAAAATTTCACATGCCACTGACACTTAGAAAACATAGTTGAAAGATTTGCAAAGGAAAAACTTCCGTGGTGAAGTTATAGATAACACCATGGGTTTTTTCTAATTTTTTGTGGCGATAGGGTCTTACTATGTTGCTCAGGCTGAACTCTAACTCTTATGCTAAAGTGATCCTCCCATCTCAGCCACGCAAGTACCTGGGACTACGGGTGTGCACCACTGCACCTGACTTTTTCACCACGGTTTTGAAGAATGCAGTATCATTCTGAATTAAAGCTTCTACCTAAGGTCAACATTATTCTCCCATTTAACAATTTTTTTTTTTAAATGGAGAATCTGAAACGTACAAAAGAAGTAGATACTATCTTATGTATTTATTTGAGACAGAGTCTCACTCTTGTTGTCCAGGCTGGAGTACAATGGCAGGATCTCAGCTCACTGCAACCTCTGTCTCCCATGTTCAGGCGATTCTCCTGCCTCAGCCTCCCGAGTAGCTGGGATATACCACCATGCCCAGCTAATTTTTGTATTTTTAGTGGAGACGAGGTTTCACCATGTTGGCCAGGCTAGTCTCAAACTCCCGACCTCAGGTGACCCGCCTGCCTTGGCCTCTGAAAGTGCTGGGATTACAGATGTGAACCACCGCGCCCGGCCTTTTTTATCTTTAAAACATACAAACAAGTTTACAAGTCATTCCATTTACAATCAACATTATTGAAGTATGATTTACATTAAATGAATATCCATTTTCATTAGTTTGATGAGTTTCGACAAATATAAACACACTTGTAACCACCATGATTAAGGTAATAGAATATCTCCATCGTGCTCAAAGAGATTCTTCATGACCCTTTCTAGTCAGTCCCCCCATATCCTGGTCCTAGGCATCCACTCATAGACTTCTTCATTGTAGATTAGATTTGCTTCTCTAGGATTTCAAGGAAGTGGAATCATAGAAGTGTGGACTCTTGTGTGTGTTCTCTTTTATATAGCGTGATGCTGATAAGGCTCTTCCACACCGTTCGTGTCTTGGGGTTTCGTTCTTTTGTATTACCGAGCAGCACTCTATTAGATAGATGAACCATAGCTTGTTTATCCCTCCACCTGTTGATGGACAGGGATTTCTTGGATAGGACTTTAGATTCACTGATCTTTTTTTTGCAGTGTCTAATATGCTGTTAATGTTAAGTATATCTAGTAAGCTCTTCATTTCTCTTTCTTTCTTTCTTTTTTTTTTTTTTGGAGACAGGGTCTTGACCTGTCCCCCAGGCTGGAGTGCAGAGGTGTGAGCACAGCTCATTGCAGCCTTGACCTCCTGGGCTCAAGCAGTCCTCCTGCTTCAGCCTCCTGTGTAGCTGGGACCACAGGCTCATGCCACCATGCCTGGCTAGCCTAAAAAAATTTTTTTTGGTAGAGATGGGGTCTCAGTTTGTTGTCTAAGCTGGTCTCAAACTCCTGGGCTCAAGCAATTCTCCCACCTTCCGAAGTCCTAGAATTATAGGTGTGAGCTGCTGTGCCTGGTCTCATTTTTGATACTGTATTTTTTATCTCTGAAAGTTCCACTTGATTATTTTTCATAACTTCCATTTTTTCTCATGTTCATAGTTTCCTGTAAGCACATTTATTTTAGCTTTTCGAGCATCCTTATCTTCTGTTCCCACCATCTTTATTTTTTCTGGGTTTGTTCTCTTGACTCATTTTTATCCCTGTTCTGGGTCACATTTTCCTTCTTCACATGTCTAATCATTTTTGTTTGGATGCTGTGGCTATTGGGATTTCCCCATTGTTGAGTGCTAGACTTTGTTTTTGCTTTTTAAGCTTTGGCATGCAGTTGGGTTACTTGCAGTTCAGATTGATCCTTTCAGGGCTTGTTTAAGCTTTCTTTGGGGCAGGGTTAGAGTAGCTTTAAGTTAGGCCTTTTCAACAATAGCGTTGTGACATTTTGGCATTCTCCAACTAAGTGCCATTTTGATAATTCTTTGTTGTGGACCCTGTCCTTTGCATTGTAGGTGGTTTGCGGCATCCCTGGCCTCTTTCCAGTGGATGTCAGTAGCACTCCCTCCTCCCACCATTCTTGCCAACTAAAGATGTCTCCAGATTGCCACATGTCTTCCTTGGTCTCAAGTGTGTAAAATTATCACCTGTTGAGAACCACTGCTCTAAGGCTATTTAGCCAGACAGTTACTGCAACCTTTCTGGGGTGTCTCCTGAGAGCTCCTAGGTGTTCAGCAGGGATTCCATTGTCTGACTGATCAGAACTTGAATGTTTCCCAGGCCTCTGAGAGTTCTGGAGATTGTTATCACTCATGCACCCTTTGCTCAGCTTTACAGAGTGTTACCCTCTGTGTGTGTGAATGTATTAACACAGACCCTAGAGGACCCCTGTGCAGCATTCTGAAGGCTTTTTTTCTGTGTAACTTCCTCTCTGATTCCCTGCCTGGCAAGTTCCAGCTGCTTCCATTCCCTGAACTTATTTCCTGTCTAACTCAGCAAGACTGCCGTGCTCTGCGTGACCTCTTACCCTGTACTGTGGTCTGGAAAGGGTCTCCTGGCTGATAGCCAGAGCAGGGTAAGGGTTACTTGGTTTGTTTCCCACAGGCAGGCGCCACTGCACCCAACTAGTTTTTTTTGTTTTTTTAAAATTTTTATTAGAAACTAAGTCTTGTAGCTGGGTGTGGTGGCTCATGCCTGTAATCCCAGCACTTTGGGAGGCCAAGGCAGGCAGATCACCTGAGGTTGGGAGTTCGCAACCAGCCTGACCAACACGGAGAAACCCTGTCTCTACTAAAAATACAAAATTAGCCAGGCGTGGTGGCGCATGCCTGTAATCCCAGCTACTCGGGAGGCTGAGGCAGCAGAATTGCTTGAATCTGGGAGGCAAAGGTTGCGGTAAGCCGAGATTGCGCTATGGCACTCCAGCCTGGGCAACGAGCGAAACTCTGTCTCAAAAAAAAAAAGAAAAGAAAAGAAAAGAAAAACTAGGTCTCGCTTTGTTGCCCAGGCTGGTCTTGAGTGCCAGGCTTCGAGCAGTCCTCCTGCCTCAGCCTCCCAAAGTGCTGGGATTACAGATGGGAGCCACTGCATCTGCCGAGATCATTTATTCTTGAAAATCCATCCATTTTGACGGCAAGGTTGGCCGTGCAGTGTGCTGACTCTGCCTCCAGGCAGCATTGTTCACACGCACCTCAGCTTAGGCCAGACCTCACATATGATTTCTTATTTTTAAAAAAAAAAATTTTTTTTAGACGGAGTGGCTCTGTTGCCCAGGCTGGAGTACAGTGGCATGACCTTGGCTCACTGCAACCTCCACCTCCTGGATTCAAGTGATCCTTCCACCTCAGCCTCCTAGGTAGCTGATATTACAGGCATGCACCACCACCCGGCTAATTTTTGTATTTTTAGTAGAGATGGGGTTTCACTGTGTTGGCCAGGCTGGTCTTGAACTCCTGACCTCAAGCAATCCGCCTGCTTCAGCCTCCCAAAATGCTGGGATTACAGGCGTGGACCACCACGCCTGGCCAATTTCTTAATACTTTTTCTTCATAACACTTACCACTGCAATCATTAAATCATTATGTAGTTATGTATTTAATGTCTGTCCCCCACCCAGCTGAGGCATCCTGAGGTCATGCACTGCGTGGGTTGTATTAACTATTCCATTCTGTTATTTGCTCAGGGCCTGTCAAGGAGTTCAGTTATTTTTGTTAAGTGAGTAGATCGTCAGTCGTGCTTCATCCATAATCCCTTGTAAATGCGACTTTGTTTCCGATCCTGTAGCGTGATAAGTGACTTCCTCATTGCCAGGTTGGGTGGCCTTTCCTCTGCTTTTCCTCTCTAATCACTGTGGCTTTGGTACTTCTGCCATTCTTTCCTTCTTGAAACTCTCCCTGGACCTTAGTGACATCTCTTCATCTTGGTTCTCCTGTGTTGCTTTCTTTCTGCTCCAAATGTGTGCTTTCCAAGGTTCTGCTCTCAGCCCTTTTTAAAAGTGGCATCTGAAGTGTCCTGTTCCCTAGAGCTGGATTACGTGCTGAGGCTTGCGGAGAGCCAACCCAGGGAGCAGCGTGTGTTCATCCGTCTGTTTCATTCATTTGGTAAGGGCTTAGGAAGCTCCTGCGGTGGCTACCCGCTTCTTGAGACAGTCTCACTGTATTGCCCAAGATGGAGTGTGGTGGGGCAGTCTCAGCTCAGTACAGCTTCTGCCTCCTGGGTTCAGGCAATTCTCATGCCTCAGCCTCCTGAGTAGCTGGGACTACAGGCATGTGCTGCCACACCTGGCTAATTTTTGTATTTTTAGTAGAGACAAGGTTTCACCACATTGGCCAGGCTGGTATCGAACTCCTGGCCTCAAGTGATCTGCCCACCTTGGCCTCTCAAACTGCTGGAATTATGGGTGTGAGTCACTGTGCCTGGCTCTTGATTTTTATTTTAATGAAGCAATTTGGACTGTAAAGCATTTTAAGTTATATAATTGGTTTAAACATTTAGGAGATAAAATTGGCACAGTAGGTGATCAGTGGGTTGTAGGGTGACAGAAATCAAGAATTTATCTAGTGTGTGTTCACTTACGGGGCACTAGACCTTGTTGTGGGCACTGGGGTACAGTAGTGGACAGGCAGTCAGCGGTCCTGCTGTCCTGGAGCTAGTAAATGATGCCTAGGTTCCTGGACTGTGTGACTCATTGAGGCAGAAACCCTGGAGGGAGGAGCAGGTGTGTTAGGTGGGGTGGGTTGGATGAGTTTTGGACAGTGTATTCCAGTTGGAGTTTGGCATGACATCAGAGAGGATGGGCAGGGCTACTCGGGAGGGTGGTCTCTGTGGCAGAAGACAGAAGTTTTTTCTTAAGCTCCTCCACTGATACTGTCATGGAGCACAGGTGAGCTTCATAGGAAGTGTGCATGTTTTTTTTAATCTTCATCATCCCAACCACCACCATATGAGACAGCCCATTCACCCACTTGACTGGTGAGGCAACTGATGGTCAGAACTAAGGGCTCAGGGATAGGAAGTGAGATCCAGGCCAGGCTCCAGCCTCGAGCTCGAGGTTCACACTGTCTCTGTTGTGCTCTTCTATCAGCTCATTTCTTTTTTTTTTTTTTGAAATGGAGTCTCACTTTGGCCCAGATTAGAGTGCAATGGCGCGATCTCAGCTTACCGCAACCTCTGCCTCCTGGGTTGAAGTGATTCTCCTGCCTCAGCCTCTCAAGTAGCTAGGATTATAGGCACCCATCACCACGCCTGGTTAATTTTTGTATTTTTAGTAGAGACAGCATTTCACCATGTTGGCCAGGCTGGTTTCAAACTTCTGACCTCAGGTGATCTGCCCATCTCGACCTCCCAAAGTGCTGGGATTACAGGCGGGAGCCACCGTGCCTGGCCCCCGTCAGCTGCTTTCATGTTTCTCTTTTTCTTGTGTCATCTGTGAGACTTGTGCTCTGTTCAGGGGAGATGAGTGGGCTTTGTCAGATTATAATTCACGAGGCATTAAAAGTGTTTACAGTTAATTCTTCCTGATGAATAGCCCCTTCCAAAGTCTGTTTTGGCTCTTGGCTCATTAAAAATTATAATTGTAGAAGTAGCAGTACGTTACTGAGATTTAGAAAACAGTTAACAGAAGAACCCTCCCAAATCCTACCCTCCTCTAAAATCCTACTGTCCTAAAACAACTGTTATTTAAGAGATTGTTTGGTGACAAGGCGCTAAGTTCATTAAGGGGATTTACCATAGTGATCTGGGGATTCTAAGTCATGGATCTCAATTTTGGCTGCCAGAGCTGTACTCACAGTAGCTGGAAGATCATCAAAGAAACTTGCTGTCTTGCTTTGGCTTTCCCTCCGTCTCCCTGCAACCTAAAAGTATTTGAAGTACCAGCATTTGGTTTTTGCTTTTCAAATAATTTTTCTAATTTAGTGGTTAATAGTTTGTTAATTTATATCTCTCTAATTGCTAATAGGGATGAAAAAATTTCCATATGTTTGATTTCTGTTTTGAATTGTATGTTTATATTTTTACCTGGTTTCTTTTTGCGTGTGTATTTTTTTCTTTTTTTCTTTGAGACAGAGTCTCACTCTGTCGCCCAGGCTGAAGTACAGTGGCACGATCTTGGCTCACTGCAACCTCTGCCTCCCAGGTTCAAGTGATTCTTATGCCTTAGCCTCCTGGGTAACTGGGGTGGCGTGTGCCACCACACCTGGCTAATTTTTGTATTTTTGGTAGAGATGGAGTTTCGCCATGATGGCCAAGCTGGTCTTGAACTCCTGGCCTCAAGTGATCCTCGTGCCTTGGCCTCCCAAAGTGCTAGGATTACAGGTGTGAGCCACTGTGCCTGGCCAATTTTTGTATCTTTTGTGGAAATGGGGTTTCGTCATGTTGCCCAGGCTGATTGCAAACTCCTGAGCTCAAGCAATCCATTGGGTATTTATAGTTTTCTTATCATTTTTTCCAGGTCTCCCTCCCAATATTAAACATACAGAATAGTTGAAAGAGCGGTACAGTAAACACCCATGATCCTTTACCCTAGATTTAGCAGTTAGCATTTTGTCATACATTTTACATACAGATTTTTTTTTTTCTTTGCTGAACCATTGGCAGATCAGTCGCAGACATCCTGACGCTTCTGAATACCTCAGCATGTGTATGTGCTTTTAGTGTGATGACCCCTTAACCACTTATTTTTCCCATATTTGCTGTAAATATTTTTCCTAGTCTGTTGCTTACGTCCGACTCTGTTTTCTTATGTTTTTCAGAGGGTGACATGCCGTGCCGTGCCAACATCCTGGTCACAGAGTTGTTTGACACAGAGCTGATAGGGGAGGGGGCGCTGCCCTCCTATGAGCACGCACACAGGCATCTCGTGGAGGTAGTGGACAGAGGGCTCCCTCAGACGTGTCTGGTCTCAGCCAGCTCACACAGCACTCACTCATGCACCGTGCTCCACACAGTCCAAGCTCTCAGCACCTCTCATGCACCTGGGACACCCCTCTATTCCTGGGGAGCTGTGGTTCTCCTCACTTGTGACTTTCATGTCCCTCGAATGCCAAATCTTAATAGGTTAGAGTTGAAAAGCCAGAAACTATTTTCAAATTCGGTTCAGTTCAGCAAATATTCTCAGGAAGGCGATGCTTGAGCTGTCAATCCTGAGAAGTGATCAGGTGTTGGCCTGGCAGATGGAATATTTCTGGTAGAGGAGAGCAGCATGCGCTAGACGTGAGGCTGAATCGGTGCGGTGGCTCCGGAGCCTGCTTTGGATTTTGTGCTGTGTGGGAGGCAGGAGAGATGGGCTTAGCAACTGAGGTTAGAGAGCTGGGCAGGGGCTAGATGGAGCGGGGCTTGGGGGCCATGCCCAGAGGGTAGCTGTCATCTAGAAGGTGAGGTGGCGTCGTAGGAGGATTTGAAGCAGAGGATTGATAGCAGATTTATGCAGGCAGACATGTGCAGGGCAGTTGGGGTATAGGGCTGGAGGTTGCGGGTGGGTTAAAAGGCTGTGGAGTCATCCAGACACTGTGGTGCAGTGGGCCTCAGCCAAGGGCCTGATGGGTGGTCCCAGGAGTTGGTGGTCCCTTAGATGTAGAGGTATTGATGCCAGGGTTTGGGCACCTCAGAGCACAGGAAGAGGGGTAGCCTTGGGAAGGTTGGAAAGTGGTGAGGGCGATTCTTAAATGGTTTAGACAGTTTGAGCTCTCTAAAGGTCAGCCAAGTAGAGAAGCCCAAGAAGCCCAGAGATGCATGGATTTAGTCAGTGAAGAGGGCGTGGTTGAGGTCACTGGAGAGTGTGGAGGGAGAAGGTCCAGACCAGGGAGTCCCCTTGTGAGGTGGGGCAAAGGAAGCACAGCCTGGTGAAGGAGGCGGGAGCGAGTCCAGTTAGAGTGGCATTTCTCTACCAGACCAAGGTTGGGAGACGCCTCACGGGGAGGCCATTTGTGCTGCTAACCTTTTACCATGTCCGGAGCAACCCCCACAGCAGAGAATCATTTGGTCCAAGAGGCTAGTGGTGTCATGCGGTGAAAGCCACGTGGGTAGCAGCTGTGAGTGTGCTCTTGTCGGATCCCTGTTGCCTGGTGCATGGAGGATGTGGAGTGGATGCATGAGCTAGGAGGAAAGCTGGACAAGGAGCGAGAGCCGCAGCCGTGGGGGCTGAGTGCACAGCAATGCCCAGCGGCGCCAGAAGGCTGGGCAGCTGAGTGGGCACCATGGTCCATAGGGCTTTGCCACAAGGAGGCTCTTGTTTTGGTGCTGGGCAAGAGTGGCACTGAAGGGATGCTGAGCCCAGAGCCAGGATCACTGGCCAGCAGCAGGACTTAAAGCATTTAAGAATGCCAGGTAGCCAGGAACTTAGCTGACATAAGTCATTTTAGGCACAGTGTGTATTCTTTTTGAAATCTAGTACCTTTTTTTTTTCCCTTTTCCAAGGGCATAGGGCTGAAAACAGTTCACTCTTCTAATAGTATAAGGTTTTGGGCATTACTGAACCAACCTCATGTTAAGGAATAAACCTCTTTTGATCAGTGGGAATTACTGTGGGTCTGAGCACCTGATTTTTGTTTGGTTTTGTTTTTTAATACAAACTTAGGAAAATTGTGAGGCCGTGCCCCACAGAGCCACCATCTATGCACAGCTGGTGGAGTCCAGGAGGATGTGGTCGTGGAACAAGCTGTTTCCCATCCACCTGCAGACCAGCCTCGGAGAGCAGGTCATCGTCCCTCCTGTGGACCTGGAGAACTGCCCTGGCGCACCCTCTGTCTGTGACATTCAGCTGAACCAGGTGTCACCAGCCGACTTTACAGTCCTCAGCGATGTGCTGCCCATGTTCAGGTACCAAGGAGCCACCATAGGTGATGGCACTTTAAGACATTTGATGGAAGTTGGGTCTTAGGAAGTTCTTTTTGCGTGGGAAGGAAACCTAGCTGCTGTCACCTGCCTCGAAGGCAAGAGTGTTTGCAGCCAAATGTCATTGCCAGTGAGGTCACTGTAAAAGCTTAAAAAATGGGAGTGTGTGAGGTTAAACTCTGCTTACATTCTTGAATATTATTCCTCAGCATAGACTTCAGCAAGCAAGTCAGTAGCTCAGCAGCCTGCCATAGCAGGCAATTTGAACCTCTGACATCTGGCCGAGCTCAGGTGGTTCTCTCGTGGTGGGACATTGAAATGGACCCTGAGGGGAAGATCAGGTGCACTACGGCCCCCTTCTGGGCACACTCAGACCCAGAGGAGATGCAGGTAAGAGCAGCCGAGCATGTGCCCTGTCAGGAAACTTGTCCACTGCTGTTCATGGGAAAGTAGCAGTTGGACCTTAGACCCATGAGAATTTAGAGACAGGAGGACTGTGTCAGAATCAAAGACAAAAGTTTTTAAAACGCAAGCAAAGGCTAGCTGTAGTGAGGTATCCTTTCCAGGGTGAGCTCATGGTCAGCACCCATGGACACAGTGGGCAACAGAGAAGTTGGCTGTTCTCTCCCCCTCATCATGATGCAGCTCTCCTTAGATACCACCGCTCAGCCCCTGAGTAGTCCCAAGGCTCCCATCAGCTTGGAATAGAGAACTACGGCCTCACCTTCTGTGGCCTCGAAATCTACTTTCTCCACCCCGATAGAAAGTAGGCAGAGGACATGAAAGACAGAAAAGGAAATAGAGATGACGGCGATAGTTGCCCACTCTCCCTCATAATAAGAGAAATGCAGTATTAGCTGTTCACAGCACCTGTGCTCCCAGCCTCTCAGGAGACTGAGACAGGAGGATTGCTTGAACCCAGAAAGTCGAGGCTGCAGTGAGTCGTGATTGCATTACTGCACTCCAGCCTGGGCAATAAGATGAGACCCTGTCTCTAAAAAAAAAAAAAAAGAGAGAAATGCAACTTTCAACTGCAATGATATATCATTTTCACCTATTAGTGAATAAAGTTTAAACAGTTTGCAGGCACACTGTTGGTGAAGCTCAGGGAAAAAGCAGGAAAGCCAGTCGTCAGAATGTCTCAGGTAGAAAGCAATGCTGCTTCCAAACGTGGGGCTGTGGCTGGATTTGCGTCTGTGCAGAATAGTTGTGTCCAGACCTGGTTTAGTAGAAAAAGGCCAACCTAAAGGCCACTAGCAGGGATCAAGTCTGTTATCCTCTCAGTGGGTGAGGTAGCTCTCTGTGTACTGATGTGGGACAAGCTTCAGGGTGGATTATTACCTGGCACAAAAATAAAGGTGCAGAATGGTGTGTCGTGTGGTAGCACTGGTGTTGGTAAAATTAGGAATATGTGTGTTTATGAGTGGTTAGTTGTCTGGTGTACATATAAGGATATCTTTGGAAGAATTCCCAGAAATTGGTAAAACTGACTGCATCTGGGAATGGGGACTGGAGGTTAGGGGTAGAAAGGAAACATATTTTTCACTATGCGTCCTTGTATATCTTTTGAATTTTCTGTTATGTGCTTGTGTTATTTACACCCCTATCCACCCTCCCTCCCTCTCACACTCAAAGGAGAAGAAAGTGGGAAAGATTTGTCGTCATTGCCTGATGGGTTCTTCCCACCCACCGTTAGACAAAACCAATTCGCTGACACCATGGCTTTGCAATAAAGAGTTTAACTGACATGAAGCCAGCCACACCACGTGGAAGACAGAGTTATTACTCAAATCAGTCTCCCTGAAAATTCACAGGCTAGAGTTTTTTGTTTGTTTTGAGACGGAGTTTCATTCTTGTCGCCCAGGCTGGAGTGCAGTGGTGCGATCTCAGCTCACTGCAACCTCCACCTCCTGGGTTCAAGCGATTCTCCTGCCTCAGCCTTCCAAGTAGCTGGAATTACAGGCATGCGCCACCACGCCTGCCTAATTTTGTATTTTTAGTAGAGATGGGGTTTCTCCATGTTGGCCAGGCTGGTCTCAAACTCCTGACCTCAGGTGATCCGCCCCCACCCAGCCTCCCAAGGTCCTGGGATTACAGGTGTAAGCCACCGCGCCCGGCCCAGGCTAGGGTTTTTCAAGGACAGTTTGGAAGGCCAGGGAGTCCACTTCTGGGTGGAGTCATCAGACAGAAATGTAAAAACCCAAAAAGACATTTCAAAGGGTCAATCTTAGGTTCTACAAGGGTGGTGTTATCTGCAGGAGGAGTCAGGGAAGGTTGCAGATCTTGTGACCTAATAATGGCTTCACCCTAGCAGAATTCAACCTCCTCTCATCCTCGTAACCTGATGATCTTACATTAAGTTTTAGTTTAATTTTGGGGAAGGGCGGTTATCATTTAAAGTATTAATCGACTGGGCTTGGTGGCTGACGCCTGTAATCCCAACACTTTGGGAGGCCCAGGTGGGTGGATCATTTGATGTCAGGAGTTCGAGACCATCCTGACCAACATGGAGAAACCCCACTTCTACTAAAAATACAAAAATTAGCCAGATGTGGTGGTGCATGGCTATAATCCCAGCTACTTAGGAGGCTGAGGCAGGAGAATTGCTTGAACCCATGAGATGGGAGGTTGAAGTGAGCTGAGATCATGCCACTGCCCTCATACCTGGGTGGCAGAGTGAGACGAATAAAAAATAAACTATTAACCAAATGTCTCCCAAAGTTAGCTTGGCCCAGACCCAGGAATGATTAAGGGCAGTTTGGACGTTAAAGCGAGATGGGGTTGGTTGGTTGAGATCTCTTTCACTGTCATAATTCTCTCACTGTTTTTTGCAAAGGCAGTTTTGGTTTCAGGGCCAAGAAATAGAACCTGTCTCTACCCAGGAGCGCCTTAGGCACCATCCTTTGTTCATGGTCCAGCCTGCCTGGCCTTAACCGCTGGCTTTGTTTTAAATGCCCACCTGCTGGTTCTAGGTGGCCACAACATTGACTTCCTGGAAGGCTTTAGCAGCTTCCCCTACCCCATTCCCAGAATTACTGTGTAGGCCGAAGGGTCGTGACTGCTGGGGGATTGCTGTCAATCAGCATACCCGTACCGACAGCAGCATGTGAGACTAAGAAGTATGTGAGCTTTAGAAGTATGTGAGCTTCTTAGTCTCCCCTCCACCTTCCAGGTGCCTGGCCTCAGGTGGGCGTGCGTCCAGCCAGGGCGTGCCAGCTTCCCTCTGCAGGCTGTATGTGTGTGTCACTCTGAATTCACCCACAGAGTTGAGATTGGCACTGCACCACATTCTTCCTAAGACTGTGTTGCAGAATTAGCATGAGAATAGTGTTAAAATGTTAGGACTTTTGGCCAGTGGCTTGCTCCTGTAATCCCAGCACTTTGGGAGGCCAAGGTGGGTGGATCATCTGAGGTCAGGAGTTCAAGACCAGCCTGGCCAACATGGTGAAACCCCGTCTGTACTAAAAATACAAAAAACTTTGTTGGGCATGGTGACAGGCACCTATAATCCCAGCTACTTGGGAGGCTGAGGCAGGAGAATCGCTTGAACCCGGGAGGTGGAGGTTGCAGTAAGCTGAGACTGCACCATTGCACTCCAGCCTGGGCAACAAGAGCGAAACTCCGTCTCAAAAAAAAAAAGTGAGTACTTTTAGTTTGCATATCTTCAGAACACTACTATGTATTTTTTCTCCTTGAATCCTCTTAGTAGACAAACCAGGTAACCACAACCGTAGCCAGCCCGGGACTCAGCAGGCTCCAGGGATTAGAGCAGGACCTTGTGTCCGGGAGCAGTAGAGCGGGTCCTGCCCCTGGTCTCTTGACTGTGGGTCTTGTGTCGTTTCTCTACCAGCGTTGACTTTTGGATTGGAAATTTGAAAGCTGCTAATGAATCTTCCTCATGAATTCATCAAACTGCTTTGATCCTAAGTATACTTAGCCTGTCCCACCTTGGCACAGTGGGTTCTGTCACCAGCTGTTCGGCGTTAGGACCCAGGAGGTCCCTGTGGTGGGAACATGGGAAGGACATGATGACAGGGCAGTGCCATGGGAGCCTAGGAGGGCTTGGGAAAGGGTTCTCCTGTCTTCTTCACATACATTTGCATAGTGTGGGAATGAATAAAAGGTTTAAAAGAACCTGTATTATTCCTGTTACTGTTTATTTTTCCAGAACATATCTGGTCAGATTTTCATTTTCTAGTTTTTATGTTCAAGTAGGCGTCTTAAGTGTGTGGGAATGTCATTCTCTGCCTTTTTGTTAAATTCAAGACCAGGCGGGTGGGTACGTTCCTTACCTGTGCTCTTGGAGTCCCACAGGGCAAAGTTTTTCTTAGTTCCTGAAGGTAACAGAATGAGCAGGCAGTTGTCTCATCAGAGTTGAGCCAGGCATCTCCTGTTTTTGTTCGTTAGAGACAGGGTCTTGCTCTATTGCTCAGGTTGGATTGTAGTGGCACCTCTTAGCTCACTGCAGCTGTGAACTCCTGGGCACAAGCGATCCTCCCACCTCAGCCTCCTGAGTAACTGGGACTACAGGCATGTGCCACCATGCCTGGCTAATTTCATGTTTTTTGTAGAAGTGGGGGTCACCGGTATGTTACCCAGGCTGGTCCCATACGCCTGGCCTCAAGCGATTCGCCAGTCTTGGCCTCCCAAAGTGTTGGATTTACAGGCATGAGCCACCGCGTCCAGCTGGCATCTACTTTTTAGGACAGTTCTTCCTTTTTCAAAAAGAAGCTTAACAATTATGAGAGAAATAAACCTCATTATATAAAATAAAAATATCACTCATGGTCCTCCCTTTCACTCAAAATAGCTCCCTTTCTTTGGTCCCTCTCCAAATGCGTGGGTGTCGTCGGTGCTCATCTGTGTTCCGGGCCTTCAGCAGCAGCGTTTAAGATGTCTGTCCGTGTTCTGCACGAGGGCTTATATCCCGTTCTGAGCCCTGGCCATTTGGGTGGGTTCCAGTTTTTGCTGGTATAAATAATTCTGTGGTTTGCATTTTTATGGGAATATAACTCTTTTCTTTGTTTTTTTTTTTTTTTTTTGTTTGGGTTTTTTAAGGATAAAATCCTGTATGTGGGCTTTGTAGTAAGGACTAGCACAGCCTATTAAAAATTGACTCTGGATCATTGTCAACCATGTTTCACAATTTAGAATCTTCGGTTATTTAAATACTGCAATTTAATTCAAAGAATAAGCCAAAACCTTTTTGTATTTTCCCAACTTTTTATTTTGAAAAATTATCAATCCACAGAATAAGTGAAAATGAACACTGATAGTCCCTTTATTAATGTAAATTGACCAGTTGTTAACGTTTGCCACACCTGCTTTGTCTTTGTCTTCTGCCTCTCTCCCTGCATCTCTCGGTACACACACACACAGACACACACACACGCACACGCTCGCGGAGTTTTTTGCAAAATCATTTGAAAATAAGTTGCAGACATCTGACACTTTACTTTTAAATACCTCAACACATATCTCCCAAGAATGAAAACAGTCTGCAACATAAACGAAACACATGATCACACCTAAGAAAAACAGTGGTTCCATAGTATCATCTAACATATGGTTCAAAATAAAATTTCTCTGTCTCCAAAAGTCCTTGATAGCTTTTGTTTCCTCAGTCTACAATCCAGTTAGGTGTAGTGCATTGCATTTGACTGTTCTGTAAATTCTGAGTATGTTAAAGCCTTTGGAGTGTGCGCCATGGGACTATTCCGAAAAGGTTCCCCTCAAACCACGAGGTTTAAACCGTTGTTTTTTCCTTCAAATGAAACATTTGGCACAGCCCTGCGTGTTGAAGAGAGAGCTTTGGTGCTCCTCTGATGGGGTGGGGACTGGAGCCTGCACTTGTCCCCTCCCCTGAGCCACTCTGGCAGATCGCTGCCCTTGGCCACATTGTGTCTTCCTAAAGCCAGCAGGGTTCCCACAAACTTTGGGCCACTGGTCTCTGAGTTTAGAGTTTGTTTCTTTATCTCCTTGGCCACAATAGCCAGCTGCAGTCTACATTGTGGACGCCTGAAAACTGGCAGTTCTCTGGCATTTGGCTCCTGGATTAGAAGCATTGCTCATGCCGCGGCATGTTGACAGCTGACTCTGTTCCCCGTTTCAGTGGCGGGACCACTGGATGCAGTGTGTGTACTTCCTACCACAAGAGGAGCCTGTGGTGCAGGGCTCAGCGCTCTGCCTGGTAGCCCACCACGATGACTACTGCGTGTGGTACAGCCTGCAGAGGACCAGGTACGCCGAGCGTCGTCGGGGTGGAGGATGAGCCTCTGAAACTTGAATGTAAAGTCCCCATTTACAGACCCTCTGGAGGCGCCAGTGGGTTGATTTGTGTCTGGACAGAATAATATAAGAACAAAGATTTGTGACCGATGTGTCAGTGTCCATTCGTGTGTACCCAGGAGAGGCTGTCATGGGTTGCTGGAATCTGTTTAGAGCAGATGCGTAGGAAAAGTCTGGAATTAGCGGGTGCTGTAACTTCTCATGCCAGCTGGAGACCAGTGTCCAGATTCATGCCCTCTAGAGACCTGTGGAGGCGCTCACAGCCCACGTCTGTTTGTTCATCTCCTGGCCTAGCCCTGAAAAGAATGAGAGAGTCCACCAGATGCGCCCCGTGTGCGACTGCCAGGCTCACCTGCTCTGGAACCGGCCTCGGTTTGGAGAGATCAATGATCAGGACAGAACTGATCGATACATCCAGGCTCTGAGCACCGTAAGTGTCCAGCCCCTTGGCTGGTTGTAGGGGATAAGGGAAAAAGAAGTTTGAACCATGAGCCCCAGCACTCTGCTTATGATTTGCTAAGTTTCTTTCCTGTGTCCTCTTGTCTCTGAATGGCTTCAGCGAGCGCCTTCTGGGGCGGGCACTGCAGCAGAAAGCTGGAGACCTGGGGCTACTCTCTGCTGTACTGGGAGAGCCTCTGGCTGGGCTCCTGCTGGATGCCTTCGCCTTGTCAGGCACAGTCGTTACTGTGGGTGGTCGCAGTGGATTCGGCCACCCCTCTCCTCTTTTCATGAGTTGCCACATTTCTCCAGTTTTCTAAATGTAGATCTGATCATGGGACTCTCCTGCCTGAAAACCTTTGCTCCCTGCTACCTGTAGCAGGGGACTCGGCCTGGGGATTATAGATGGGGCTTAGAGGGAGGGTCTCTTGAGGCCCTTGGGGGTGTGTACAGAAATAAGTGTGCACGTGTGCATTTTGGAGGATGGGGGAGGATCCAAGCCATCCTGAGTTTCTCTCAGAGGGATCTGTCACCCAGAAAGGCATCCCTGCCTTTGGGAAGTCAGTTGTGAACCCTCGAGCCTTGGAGGCCCTTAGCTGTCTGTACTGTCACCAGACAGGGAAGAAGCCTGTTGTCATGGCCTGGGAGGTGGCCTGCACGTGGGGCAGCCTTCAGCGGGGCCTCTAGGCTGGGTTGAGGAGTGTCTTTTCTGACAGTGGGGACAAGTGGGGAGATGTGAGCGAGGCGGGCGTGTTTGAGGCTGGGGGTGGTTACTGCATGAGGACACAGGGGCATGGTCTGAGGTCTGGGCAAGCGGGGTGAGAAGGGACGCGTTTCTGACAGCTTACCAGCAGGAATCTTCTGGCAAACTGGAGGAAGCCCTGTGCTGAGGGTGCCCGTTCCCCGCAGGTGCTGAAGCCAGACAGCGTGTGCCTGTGTGTCAGCGATGGCAGCCTGCTCTCCGTGCTGGCCCATCACCTGGGGGTGGAGCAGGTACAGACGTGCACCCTTGTCAGCCTCCTGAGGTGGGCTCGTGAGTTAGGGCATTGTGTGGTCCGGGTGCACAATTCTGTGATCAAGGCTCTTTGCAAGGGCCACTGTCGTGGGTGCAGCATGCTCGGGTTAGGGGCTGGGGTTTATTGCCTGTGCGTGCAGGCAGGCGTCAGGCTGCTGAGCTGGTGCTCAAGCTGCCCCAGGGAGGGAATGAGTGCAGGGAGGGTTATTCAGGTGTGTCCTCTGCCTTGGGATGGTCTTGTCGCATTTTAATCTTTAATTTCTTCTCTGTTAAGTGAATATCTTACAACTAATAGCATGGTGTTCCCTTTAGGTATTCACAGTGGAGAGCTCAGCAGCTTCTCACAAACTGTTGAGAAAAGTAAGTGAGAATTGTTGTTGCTGAAATAGGAGAGGACCTGTGGGGTCTGGGTTGATGGCTTTGAAGTGGCATTGGCCCGGGGGAACGAAGGAGTGGCAGCTCACTTGCACCCCTGTGTTGTCTTGGCTGCTGCCTGGAGAGCAGCCGAAGGCCTTGGGGGCTGTCACTGACGTAGAGGCAGGAATTTGCGCTCTGCTTTGTTGTTTTGTGTCTGAAGTTGAGGCTTTTCTCCTCACTTCACATAAAGCTACTGTTGGGGTAGAACCGAGTGTAGGGCGTGTTTCTGGGACATCCGTGCTGAGGGAGCCAGTGCTCACAGCCTGATGGGAGACGCCATTTCTCTCCCTGGCCAGTAACTGGTTTCAGTTCCTCTCCAAAGGGGAACCCCCGTCACCAGAACTCCAGGCCCGCACTGAGTCCTGGTGTGCGCCTGCGGGAGAAATTTCTTCTGCTTTCATCACATTCTGCTCCTGATCTCGTCTGTGGTCTATAGGATGCCCCCCAAGGAGAGAATTTCCACAAAGCAGATAAAAGTGGTGCTCCAGAACTATTTGCCAGAAAATTCAAAGCGGAGAATGCAACTTGGAGAGGTTTTTTTTCCTGACAAAAACAATAGTATGAATACAGTAATTTTATGATTTTCTTTCTAAGATCTTCAAGGCTAACCACTTGGAAGATAAAATTAACATCATAGAGAAACGGCCGGAATTATTAACAAGTGAGGACCTGAAGAGCAGAAAGGTGAGTAGCGGGAGCCTTCTGGCTGCGCTGGGCTGTGTTAGGGTAGGCAGCACGGCACTGAAGTAGCCCAGGCCCCACCCCATCCTTGGGGTCTCACAGTGGATCCTCCATGTAACCTTACCTCCTAGGAGCTCCCACTGTCAAGGATGTAGTGAGGCTTTCATGAGGCTGCCTGGTGAGCAGATGGTTGCACTGCTCTTTTTTTTTTTTTTGAAAACGGAGTCTGGCACTATCGCCCAGGCTGGAGCGCAGTGGCACGATCTTGGCTCACTGCAGCCTTGACCTTCCAGCCTTAAGCGATCCTCCCACCTCTCCCGAGAATCTGGGACTATAGGCATATGCCATTACGCCCGGCTAATCTTTGTATTTTTCGTAGAGTCAGGGTTTCATCATGTGGCCCAGGCTGATCTTAAACTCCTGGGCTCATGCGATCTGCCAGCCTCAGCATCCCAAAGTGCTGGGATTACAGGCGTGAGCCACCACACCTGGCTGTACTGCTCTTAGCTCAGCCTCATCTCTGCTCCTTCCGGTCAGGACAGAGCCTCTCTCTTAGCTTTCCTAGGAGCAGAGAGTGTCCTTTCCTCTCCACCGCACTCCTGTCTTCACTCCCCGTCCATGGCTTCCTGCTGCAGTCAGGCTTCCAGGCCCTGAAACTGCTTCTGCCAGCAACCTCGTCGTTACTCCCATGGTCTCCTTGCAGGCTTCATTTACTCTACCCGCTTGTCCTTGTGACCTGGGACTTCTTCCTGTGCTGGGGAAGTCTCTTTCCGCTCACCTTCCTGGCTGTCCTTCCCTCGCGCTGCTCCGTGGCAGTCTCCCCGTGTCCCCCACTTCTCCCTACTGCATCCTTTCTGGTAATCCTGTTCCTTCTCATGTGTGAGTCAGTGACCATAAGAGCCGGCCTTCACTCGTTGCAATTTTGGATTCAAATCTCATGTCCAGCTGCTATCCTGTCACCTTTCCTTGGATATCCCACAAACCAGACTTATCCAAAGCAGAGCTGTCATCTTTCATCTTTCCTGCCAGTCTTTTTTTTAAATAACAGCTTTAGGCCGGGTGCGGTGGCTCAAGCCTGTAATCCCAGCACTTTGGGAGGCCGAGACGGGTGGATCACAAGGTCAGGAGATCGAGACCATCCTGGCTAACCCGGTGAAACCCCATCTCTACTAAAAAATACAAAAAAAAAAAACTAGCCGGGCGAGGTGGTGGGCGCCTATAATCCCAGCTACTCAGGAGGCTGAGGCAGGAGAATGGCGTAAACCCAGGAGGCAGAGCTTGCAGTGAGCTGAGATCTGGCCGCTGCACTCCAGCCTGGGCGACAGAGTGAGACTCCGTCTCAAAAAAAACAAAAAAAACGCTTTATTGAGATGTAGTTGACATACCACAAAATTAATGCATTTCAAGTATACAGTTGAGTGATTTTTTAAGTAAATGTATGGAGTTAAACAACCATCACCCAGTCTCATTTAGAACATTTCCAGGCCAGGCATGGTGGCACATGCCTGTAATCCCAGAACTTTGGGAGGCCAAGGTGGGAGGATCGCTTGGACCCAGGAGTTCAAGACCAATCTGGACAACATAGGGAGATCCTGTCTCTATTGAAAAAAAAAAAAAAAGAAAGAAAGAAAAATTAACCCAGAGTGGTGGCATGTGCCTGTAGTCCCAGGAAGGTGAGGTGGGAGGATCGCCTGAGCCCAGGAGTTGGAGGCCGCAGTGAGCCATTCTTATGGCAGAGCACTACAGCGTGGCTGACAGAGTGATACCTTGTCTCTAAAAAAAAATTGGAATGAAAAGAGAACATTTCTGTTACCTCCCAAATTCCCGGGAGCCTGTTGATAATCAGCATGCTCGTGCCCCAGGCCTGGCAGCCACTGGTCTGGTTTCTGTCTCCAGTGTGTGCCTCTTCTGGCTTTTCTGAAAAGTGAGGTACACAGTGTGTGGTCTTGCGAGTCTGGCTTCTTTCACTGAGCATCATGTCTTTGAAGTTCACCCATTTCATTCTTTTTAAGGCTGCATGGCATTCCGCGGTGTGGCTGTCCTTTCACCTGCTTATCGACAGTTGGATTGTGTCCAGTTTCTGGCCACTTTGAATAAGGCTTCTGTGAACATGGGTTCACCGGTCTTAGTGAGGATATGGGTCCTCAATTCTCTTACGCAGGTGCCTTGGTGTGGATTGCTGGGTCATGTGGTAGTTACGGTCAACTTTTTAAGAAGCTGCTGAACTGTTGTTCGAAGTGGCTGTCCATTTGACATCCCCATCGATAACGTCTGAGGGTCCAGGTTCTCGGATCCTCACCAGCACTTGGTATTGGCTTGTTTATAACCATTTTAGTGGGAGTGTGGTGATATCTCCGCATAGTTTTAATTTGTGTTTGCCTAATGACTGATGATGGTGAGCATAATTTCATGTGCTTTTGTCTTGCTTGGTGAAATGTCTATTCAAGCCTTTTGCCCATTTTAAAAATAACAGTTTTATTGAGATATAATTCACATACCTTATGATTCACTCAGTGATTTTTGTGTATTCATAAGGTTGTGTAACCATCGCCACATCAGTTTAAGAACCCTTTCGTTACCCATTGGCAGTCACACACCATTTGTCTGCAGTCCCCAGCCCAGGGCACCCATTCTCCTCCTTTCTGTCTTCAGCTTGCCCATTCTGGGCGTCTCGTGTGAGTGGAATTAGACAGTGTGTGGTCTTTCGTGGCTGGCCTCTCATATGGCTTCATGTTTTCAGGGCTCATCCATGTTGTAGCCTGAATCAATACCTTATTTCTCTTTCTTGCTCAATAAGATTCCATTGTGTGGATAGACCATGTTATTTATCTGTTCATCAGCTGATGGACATTTGGGTGGCTCCTACTTTGAGGCTGTTGTGAGTAATGCTGCTATAAATATTCATCCACAAGTCACCCTTTTTCTCCGTCATAGATGAGGGCATAGGAGATGATTCTGAAAGCCATTGTGTGGTGTACCGGTAGACCGGGTCATGTTGAATTGGAGTGGTGGGAGTGGGCGTTCTTGCCTTGTTCCTGATGCTGTCGGGGGGAGGCCAGGAAGCACTCAGGGCAGCCCTTTCTGTCTCCCAGCATTTCCCGCTGCATCTCCCTCATCTCTGACTGGCCCCGCTTTGGTGCCTGTTTGCTTGGGCCTGCCCGGGGTCGGCTGCCTCACCCTCTGCCACCCCTTCCTCTCCTCCCACCCCTCCCACCCTGCAGTCTCCATTTCTTGCCTGGACTGTTTCTGCACTCTCCCAGGTCGCCTCCGTCCCGAGCACCTGCAGATTCCCTTCCACACTTCATGGTCCTCAGCAGGATCTTCTAAATCACATTCCTTCTGATTTTGAACCCCTCTTGAATGCTTTTAGTGACACCCACCACCCCCGCCGCTGCCGCCTCCAGGATGAGTCCAGCCCCTTATCTTGTCCTGGCTCCTGTCCAGCTCCACACCCTCACCTTGGGGGACCTTGCTGTCTCCTGGCCTCACTCTTGCCTCTGCTGCTCCTCCCTTGGCCGTTCAGGCTCCTTGCCATGCATTTGTTCATTTACTCACAAATGTTCACGGAACATCTGGTCACGGCACTGGCCCACTGCTGGGGATGCTGGGCTGCCAGTCCCTGCTCTTGTGGTGCTCAGAGCCTGGGGAGGGAGATGGAGTAAGTCCTGAGATAAAGTGTCCAGTGAGGGTTGGCAGGATGCCACTCTGGAAGCCCCCTCTGGCACATTTATTTCTGGGGTCCCGCCATGACCCCCTTCCTTGCTTTTTTCTGTCGCATGGGGTCAGCTGCACTTTGTCTGCTTCCCTCTTCCACTCTGCTCTCCTGAGCAGGGGACTCGTATCTGGTTGTAGTCTTTAAAGCCTCCAGGGCAGGTACAGAGTGCCTTGCTGCCTTGCTTTTTGACTGAGGGAGAGAGGGACTGAGGAGGGAGGGAGGGAATGAGTGACTGAATGAGTGAGTGACTGAGGGAGGGAGGGAGCGAGGGAGTAACTTGAGTGACTGAGTGGCCTATTGCTCCCTGTTCCTGTGAACGCTCCTGACACCTCCTGACACCTGGGCCCTGCTTCTCGCCCTGCTCACCAGGTCTCTCTCCTCCTGGGCGAGCCGTTCTTCACTACCAGCCTGCTGCCGTGGCACAGCCTCTACTTCTGGTACGTGCGGACCGCTGTGGACCAGCACCTGGGGCCAGGCGCCGTGGTGATGCCCCAGGCAGCCTCGCTGCACGCTGTGGTTGTGGAGTTCAGGGTAGGCCACCCAGGGGGTGTTGCAGAAAAAAGCAGAGGCGGCGAGTGGGGAACCTTGTTTTCTTGCAGGAACCTTGGGCGCCTGTAGAGCAACTCGGGCCTTGATGATTGGAGCTTGTTTTCTTTCTGTGTCAGCACACTGTGGGGTTGAATAGAAGATGCTTGCCTTTTTAGAAATGCGATAATTTGACATACGAAATGGAAATGGCTGAGTGTTGTCATTTTACAATTGTGGCTTATCAGAATAATTAAAAAATATAAATTAAGCGTTTCAGAAGCCACGCCGTGTGGCCTGCTCTGCTCTCGTTAAGAGCCGAGGCTTTAGTTGTTAAAAGCATTTTGAGATGGGAGAGTCAGCTGCTTTATGCAAGAAAAAATGGAAAAGCTTCCTTTTAATTTTCTCATCAAAGCAGAACCACAGTCACAAAGTCATTTTGGGAAGGGCGGTTTTATTAAAAGGATTTCGAAAAGCTTTGCCCTGGATGGAGAGCGCATCTCATTTGATGAGAGTGGTTTTCTCTCTCAGCTGAGTGGCTCCATCACACATTCTGGGCGTTTCTCCTGTGTTACTTGTTTACCTAATCAGATTTCCACATGAATACTGGTTTTCGTGGCCAAAGAGGGGATGTCATGATCCATGCGTGTGACCAGGAGGAAGGGAGGGAAGGCCGTGTGGCCTGAGTGTCCTCTGGATTCCTCTGGGCAGGGCCTTTTTCTTTCCCCGGCATCCTCGTGAACTGGAGGTGATGCTGGGGAGAGAACTGGCTTACAGATTTCTTCCTGAAGAAATGGTGTTGAGGATGGCCCGGATAGGAGTGTGCAGCCCCCAGCCTGGTAGCTTTGGCTGACTGTCCCTTATAGGAGAGGACTCAGGTGTCATGTCAGAGCTTGCAGGTTCCCGCCCAGCCCAGTCTGTTACAGAAACCGCTGTGGATCTTTGTTCTCTCTGAGCCCCTTCATGCTTGGGGGTCTCTTTCAGGTGTGCAGGGAACAGCAAGATGTGCCTCTTGTTCTTGCTGCCACACTTCCCTGTGCCCTGGCGGGCGGGTGTGGACGGGGCTGCTCCTTCCTCACAGGACCTGTGGCGGATCCGGAGCCCCTGTGGTGACTGCGAAGGCTTCGACGTGCACATCATGGACGACATGATTAAGGTAAGCAGGGCCACACTGCGCAGTCCCGCCCACCTGCTCCTGTGGCACAGGCCTCTGACAGGGTCCTGGCTTGGGCAGCACAGGCTCTTCTGTTGGGGGCAGTGAGGTCAGGTGCTGCCATTTTGTGTGGTTCACCATGAGCATTGCTTGGTACCAGCCCTGTTCTTGGCTCCGTGCTGTCACCCTGAGTCAGAATCTCCACTGGGCCCACATGTCCCGTCATTGGAATTGCCCCCGCCAGTGCCCGCAGCTTGTTTCCTATTGGGGCAGCCTTTCCAAAAACAGTCTGGGAACCTTCTTAGTCATTTCCACGGTGGGGGCTCCATTCCCAGGGAGGGGTACCTGAGGAGTGTCCCACAGGTTATTTACATGGTGTAGGGGTTGGCAGCGCCCTGAACAGTAGTAACTGAGCCCACGTTCCCCAGAACCATGGGCCGTCCTGACAGTGCCAGTGGTTCTTGGATTCATGGGGACTGAAGCTGAGAGTCCTGTTCCATCCATGTGAGAGGGGCGGGGTGAGGAGCATGGGCCGTGCTGTGTATTAAGGAAATGCACGTGGCTCCTGCTTGTCATCCCAGCACTCTGGGAAGCTGAGGCAGGTGGATTGCTTGAGCCCAGAAGTTCGAGACCCGCCTGGGCAATATAGCAAGATCCTGTGTCTACAAAAAAGCCAGGCATGGTAGTGCACACCTGTATTACCAGCTACTCAGGAGGCTAAGGTGGGAGGATGGCTTTAGCCTGGGAGGTCGAGGCTGCAGTGAGCTGCGTTTGCGCCACTGCCTCCAGGCTGGGTGAGAGAGGAAGACCCTGTCTCAAGAAAAAAATCTCATGGACACCAGAGGGGCGGGAAGCAGTGGCGGCCGTGCATCGGGAGGTGGGGCTTTTCTGCCTCTGCTCACCCTTCTGTTGACATTTTCCCACAGTGAACATGGATTGCCTGTGTGTGAACACTTTTAAGTAAATTAAACCTAGTGGATATTTTCAGTTTGCATCTTGCCTGCCCCTCACAGCAGATCACTGACTGTTCCATGCTTCTAGAAATCTCCTTCGTGCTGAGCCCTACGTGCTCTGGATCCATGTGCTCCCTTGGGCCCCTGCTCTCGGCCTGCCCACCCTGGCTGTCCCTGTCCCCTCTTGCTGATACGGTTCTGCCACTCTGGTCCTGGGCCAGTGTCTGTCTCTTGTGTGCTCAGGCAGATGGCCGAGAGTGGTGGGTATCCCACAGTGGGGCGCCAGGCATTTTTTTACGCTTTCCAAATCCACCTGCCCTTCCCCACCCTCAGCCTGGCCTTTCCAGTGCCCTGTCTTAGACCTGGCACCACTTCACACGACCAGCCAGGCCCAGGGCCCTGGGCATCCTCCCTCGAGAGTCCTCCCGTCCCCTGCCATTGGTCTTCATGCTCCCAGTGAGCCTCCAACCCAGGCTGTCCCCCGACTGCTGCCGTCCTGGTTTGAGCCCCTCCTGCTCTGGCCGTCCTCCACAAGGAGCCCACATGAACTTGTAGATCTGAGTCTGGCCACATCCCCACTGCAGGAATGCCCTGGATAGCTCCCGCACGCCACCCCTGCAGAGTGGCCCAGCTGGCCTGGATGCCCTGGCCTGCTCTCCTGGCTTAGCTCTATCCTCAAGGCCCCCTCTGGCCCTTCTGCCGGCTCCCATTTGACTGTCAGCTCCCCTCCTCCAGGCAGCTTTCTGCATCCCTCCTGGATGCAGGTGCCCCCAACCTGCCGCCAGGCACCGGGGCTGTACTGTCACGCATTTATCCCTCCCCATGGCCTGGGGCCCACCTGTCAGGGCCACACAGCTTTCGTGGTCGCCAGGTTTCTAGGTGCTGGGTGTTCTCACCAGTGACGTAGACATGTGGTCCTCAGAACAGCTTGAGACAGGCGACACCACCCCATCTTAAAAATCCGGAGAGCGAGGGCTCAGAGCCAGCGGTGCCTGGGGAGCCGCTGGTCTGCTGGGCACTCAGCATCTTTATGGGAGAACACACACCCCTTGTGACTGCAGTCAGTGAGAGCCAAGCCGGGGAGGGGTCCCTCTGTCTGGCTGCCGGCCTGTCTCTGCAGCCCCCAGGCCCCTTTCTGTTCGCAGCGTGCCCTGGACTTCAGGGAGAGCAGGGAGGCTGAGCCCCACCCACTGTGGGAGTACCCGTGCCGCAGCCTCTCCGAGCCCCGGCAGATCCTGGCCTTTGACTTCCGGCAGCTGGTGCCCCCACGGCCCCTGTGTGCCGAGGGCACCATGGAGCTCAGGAGGTGGGTGTAGGGAGGGCCCCGGGGGGCAGGGAGGGGCTGCTGCTTGCCCTTGGAGTTCTCACCCCCATGGTGAGCACAGCTGGCCTGGGAGACGCTGACACGTGGATGGGGTATTCGTCCTTCCCATGACCTTGCCCTTCCCTGTCAGAGCGGCCCTACGTGTGTGGTGGTTCCCACGGTCCCGTGTGTGCCAGTCGGCCGGGGGAGCCAGGGAGGGCGCTGCTCACTCCCCACAGCTGAGGCTCCCTTGTTGGATCACACCTCAGGAAGATGGGAGCTTAGTTCCTGTGGTCACCGATGCACCATTTTCCTGAACCCTCCTGGGAGCTGAAGCAGGTCAGGGTCAGGGAGTGCTGCTGGCGTCCAGGCACGGGCAGCCCTGTCCCACTCCGGCCCTCACCCCACCTCGCCCGAGGAGTGACTTCTTCCCCGGAAGCGCCTCCCAACTCGGGACAGGCAGCCAGGCAGGGTGGGCGCCGCCACCTGAGCTCCCAGGGTTGCTGTCTGGGCTATCAGAGGGGCTTTCCAGCCTTCAGTGCCAGGCTGTGCCTCAAGCCCCCCGGACCCTGCAACCACACTGGCCCTGCCCCATGTGTAGCCTGGCTGCAGGGCTCGGGTTGGCTCACGTCGGGGCTCGGCTGCGGCTGTTCTGGCTGGGGTTTTTCTGAGGAACATTCAGTTGGATGTGGCACTAGGAGCTCCCGGAGGGGCAGGAAGGAAATGGGGAAGACCACAGGTTTCTGGAAAGCAGCAGGAGCTGCAGCCGTGCCCCCCTGCCTCTTGTGTGACTGCTTCTGCTGGGTCCCCCCTCTCCTTGGCAGGCCTGGGAGGAGCCACGCAGCAGTGCTGTGGATGGAGTACCACCTGACACCGGAGTGCACGCTCAGCACTGGCCTCCTGGAGCCTGCAGACCCCGAGGTAGTGCCTGCGCGCCGAGCCCCAGTGTGCGTGCAGACCCTGAGAGCAGGCGCCGCCTGGGGAGGCCTCCCTGCCCCTGTGCTCCGGGTGTGTCTCACAAGTTCTTTGGGCCAGATGATGACCCCCTGGGACATCTGGCCCCTGCGCAGCTTCTCTCTGCTGCGAGCTGCTTGGGCTGGAGGCTGGCCAGGAAGGAGGCTACGGTGCCAGGGAGCTCTCACCGTCTTCCTGCTCTTCATCCTACAGGGAGGCTGCTGTTGGAACCCCCACTGCAAGCAGGCTGTCTACTTCTTCAGCCCTGTCCTGGATCCCAGAGCACCGCTGGGCGGCCCGCAGATGGTCAGCTATGTGGTGGAGTTTCACCCCGGCACAGGCGACATCACCATGGAGTTCAGGCTTGCAGACACCCCAGACTCACCACTCCTGGGCAATAAAGTGGCCTGAGGGCTGTGGGTTCTGAGTGGCTCATGGCTTTCTAGTGGGGAAGGCTGAAGGCTCTCCTCTCCTCTCCGGGAGCTGCTCGGCCTCGGGGATGGGAAAGACTGCGCCATGTTGTATCTTTGCACTGCTGGCCTCTGGCTCCAGCTGTGGCAGGGAGCATGAGAGGGTGACTGAATTTGGAGCCCTGGAGGGGCGGGGGAGACCCCCCTGCTTGTGCTTCCGAGGTGCTGAGAAAGCTCCAGTGTGGAGACATCTCTCCCCAGCTGGGGAGGAAGTGGAACCACCGGGGGCTTGTGGGGCTGGCGGGTGCGGTTGTCCACGCCACCCTTGGCGAGCAGTCCCCATGGCAGCCTGTCCTGCCCGTCCCACTCGGGGATCTCCGGGTCTCTGCTCCTCTGGCTTCTGCTGGGAGGGTGGAGACACTGAATGTGGCTGGGTCTCTGGGGCTTGAAGACCCTGGCTGGGCCTGGGTTCTGGCCCTTTCATCTGCCAGGTAACTTCAAGCCACATCCATAGGTGTCTGGCCTCAGTGCTGCACCAGCTGGTAGCCTGCCAGGACCTGAGACTGGACACAAGGCAGCTGTTCCAGAGCAGTTACTGAGATGCAGACCCAGGAAAGTGGCTATCAGAGGAGCCGCGAGGCAGCCCTGTTCCCTGTACCGCCCTCGGATTGGAAAGCCCCTCCTGCAGGTGGGGTACAGCGGGGAGCAGCCCCTGCCCAGCCCCACTTCACCTGAGAGGCCAGAGGCGCCGTGGCCTTGCTTCTCTCACACACTAACCCCCCTTGGTTATGTCCCAGCTCTCAGGTAACAGCAGACACCAAGTGAGAGAACCCAGTGGCCTCTGGCTCACAGCTCAGGAGGTGAGGCTTGTGCCAGGCCAGCCGAGCCGCCTGTATGAGCAGAGTTCCGGTGTCCTCGGATTTAGGCAGACTTGGGCAGCTCCTGTCCTGCAGTTGGAGGCAGGAATTCCATCCCCTGCCCCCAGGCATGCCCCTGAGGCCTGGCCCCAGCTTGTCGCTGAAATAAGTGGAGAACACCAGCCTTGAGCCTCACAGTTTTATTTTCTCCTCGTTATCCATCCTTCCTTTCAGCACCAATAAGGAAAAAGAACACCTCTCTTTTCAAAATATCTTATCAGGTGTAAAGATTTTTCTTCTAGGGAAGAACCGTCTGGATATATATTTGATAATGTTACCAAAACCGTAGGTGTGCTTACCATAGAAAACCCCTAATGTCCCGTGAAGATACAATACAGAAAAAATACAGAAATTAAAAAAGTTTTTTTATAACAGTATTTCTAAATCTCAGCAAGTTAAAAAGCAATAGTTAAAAAGCATCAAGATTGATATACTTAAAACTTAAGGTGGTTATGGATGAATGAAAATGAACATTTCCTTCCTCAGCGGCCCCCGTGCCTCGTGGCTTCCTTTGAGACTGGGCCTGGGGCAGGCACAGAGCCTTGGTGCGGGCCTCGGGTGACCCGTGTGCCCACCCCTGCTAGGCCTTAGATGCCACAGAATCTGAGATTCAGCAATGTTTCACTTAATCAGTGGAAGGGCCTGGCCTGTACACGAGGCCCGGGAATCCACAGGCAGCCACTATGGGACACGTGGGTAGGGGATCCCGGCCTTGGCGCTGAGGGAGGTGTGCAGGGCCCTGGGGGCCACACGTCCTTACTCTGGACACCAGGACCTGACTAGGCAGAGGCAACCTTGTGATGACAGAAAATGACTCGCCTAAGGCTGCCTGTGAGGTGGGAGGGGAGGAGCGTGCGGCCCTGACTCCCACACCTGCTGCCCTGGGAAGGGGGTGCCTGGGTGGGGAAGCTATGCTGGGGTCTGGTGTGGGGGCCCTGCCTGGGCCTCAGCTGCTCTTTGTGCAGGCAGCCAGCACGGGCTTGGGGTTTAGGGGCCAGGGCCAGCCCAGTCGCTTGTGTGAGCAGAGTCCCAGCTGCTTCAGGGAGTGGGGGGGCCTCCACAGCATGAAGCCCAGTCAAGGCTCACAGGCCAGACCCTTGGAGGGGCGGGCCGAGTAGAGAGCCCAGCAGGATGCCCTCCCTCAGCAGCCCCTTCCTGGCTCTGGACTCTAGGTGGCAGGGCTTGGATCCGGGCACAGACGGTGCTTCCCAGGCCAGGTGAGTTCAGACAGGCCAGTGTCACAAGGACGCACGTCCTAGCGCCAGGCTCCCCGGGCTCCGCGGCGTTGTCTGCCCCAGCAGAGGGCTGGGTGTCTGGCTGGCTGCGTGGCCTCCTCTTGGTCCCTCTTGCAGCTCAATGGGTGACAAGGCACAGCATCAGGGCACCAGCACCAGGAGGGGCTGACAACAGACAGCAGGTCCTGGTGCTCCCTCCAGCCTCGCCAGGCAAAGCCAGCCCTGGGCCAGGCTAGGTACAGGGCCAGGGCACCACGAGGAGCTGAGGTCAGCGGGGATTGTCAAAAAGTCCCTCAAGTTGAGTCTCAAACTATGAAACAGACAAAACCTTCGCGGCATGACAGGAGCAGTCCTGGCGTCTGTTAAAGGCAGGTGGGCAGAGGCAGTGCTGCCGAAGGGGCCTGGGGGCTGGAGGCAGATCGGGGACCACAGGCTGTTGGCCAGCTCTGCCATGCTGAACCTGGGTGCCAGTACCACACCCTGCCCTGGGCATGCGGCAACTGTCAGCCTCGCTGCCCCAGCCCGTGCACTGGTGAGGGCCAGGCTGCTGTCTGCACCTTGGCTTCCTGCCTCCTAGGCCGGGGTCCCCTTGTGGCCTTGGTGTTGGCTGGGGTAGCTGTTGAGGATGGGCCTGGGAGACCAGAACCGCAGACCCAGGGGGCAGGCAGGGGTTCCTGAGCTCAGCCGGCACGCGGGTGGGGCACGTCCCCAGGGAGGGATTGGTCCCGAACCAGAGAGGTGTCCGGAGGGGAGAGAGGATTGGCAGAAAGAAGAGGATGTGTTGGTTTTGATAGAAGAGAAGCTACAAATAGGTTATTTTCAAAATCAGGATCCCCCCACCCCCCTTTATGCTGTGAGTCCCTTCTTCCTGTAAAAAAAAAAAAAAAAAAGTGGATGCTGTCTTCTCGGATTCCCGGTTTATGGCTCCACTGCCCAGATGGAAGGCCCCCAGAGGAAGCCCGGGGCGCCAGAGCCTGCCGGACCCTGTTGTGCCTGGGCTGGCGAAGGGACCCTGTCTCGGGAAGAGCAAAGTTCTGTGAGTGACTTACAGACCCTGTGAAGTGAGGGTTGGTTTTGCGATTAACCTTTTTCTATTTTTCTTTTTAAAATGTAATCGCCCTTGAATGGGAGACCCTGGGAAGAGCCCTGGCTGGCTGGTAGAGACGCAGCCCTGGGACCCTGCGGGAGCCAGCCCACACTGGAGGCGGGAGAGCTGGCGGCCGTGCCCAGGAAGTGCTTCTTTGGCTGGTTCTGATTGTGTTTGGAGTTTGGCCTTGGGTGAGGCCCGAGCAAGGGGTCTGTGGCTACAGCGTGGCACATGGCATGCAGGCAGCGTGCATGCGAGGGTGCAGGCATGCGAGACGACATTGGCAGCAGACAAAAATAAAGAACCCTGGACGAAGCTTAAGAAGAGATACAGAGAGTACATGAACCCGGTCCTCATACTAACCCACGGGTTACAAACTCGGTTGTGCTGTAGATTTGTAGAAAATCACGTTGTGAAAGAATGGCACTGGTTAGGCAGCTAGAGGCTCCCGGGGCGGGCCTGACTCCTGTCTGTCTGCAGTGAGGCCCAGAGGTGCAGAGCAGCGCAGCTTCCAGGTTCCCGGGCACTGACTGTGGCTCCCTCCCTGTTCCTGTCCTCCTCCCCCAAGCACCAGGAGCTCGATGGAGGGGACATGGCCCAGGGATGGGCTGCGGCTCCAAGGGCTGGCAGAGGCCCCGCTGCTCCAGACGGTCTATGCCTCCTCCTCCCCTGAAGACACAGTCAGTCGCATGGCTACTGGCAGGTGGTCCGTCAGGCCGGACAGCTGGGTGATAAAACTGAATTCTTCCACCTCCTGGGGCGAGTGGGAGAGGGGAGAAACAGCCTTGGTCAGATTCCAAGGGCATCCTGCAGGGAGCGGGCTGGGGATCCCCAAAGTGAGGCCCCTGGCTGGGGTGGGCTGGGACCTGGAGGACCTGGGGCCCTAAGGGTTTGAGGGAGTGACGGGGCGTGGGGTCTCAGGGAGTCAGCTGTCGAGAGCTGCAGGGTCCAGGCCCCACTCTGTCTTTGCATGGGCCCGCCCTACTCACGGCCTTCCAGTCCGGGCACAGCCCCTCCTCTGCGTGCAGCATGTAGTCGATGCGCCGGCCGTTGCCCTTCAGCAGCTCCTTCCGCCCCTTCTGGCCCGAGCTCTTGCTGGTGGGAAACGCCAGGTACTCCCTGCGGCCCTCCTCGCTCTCCAGGACCCTGTCCACACACGCAGGAGGCAGGTGAGCCCCCATGCCCGCCCCTGGGCCTGGCAGGGGCTGTTTGCGGAGCCATGGTCTCCCCCCAGTGTGGGAGCGGGTGGTGGCACCAAAGCTCTGGGTTTAAGATCTGTCTCTCCTGCAGGCCCAAAAAGGGCCTCAGCTGGGGGCAGGCCCAGTCGCCTGCGGGTTCCTGGCTGAATCGGGGCTCCGGAGCCTGTCGAGGTGTCCCGTCCACCCCAGCCTGGCCAGCACTCCCTTTCCCTTTCTGAACTCGGACAAAACTGATCCCACCCGTTCCGCAGAATGGGCTTCTGCCCTGAGCCAATAGGGGGGCTGTTTTGGGGAGCTTGGTTTTTGCCGTGAATCTCGGGGACCCCTGTGACTGTTGTTCCCAGGTTGACTGGGCTGAGGGAACCAGGAGAGCACCTCCGAGGAGTCTCATGTGGGGCTGTCCCTACGTGGCTGTGTGACTCTGCTTATGTCACCGAGCCTCCAAGCCTCCGTTTCCTCCTCTGAAACGAGAGTGGTTGCTGTGGGCCCCAAGACACTTCAGGGAACAGGCTGTCATCCCGCTTCTGAGTGAGGAAACCCATGATGGTGCTAGGGGATCCACAGGGAGGGCAGGACGCTGGAGCGGGGGGATGTGACATCTGGAATCCCTTTCTGGCACTGTTGCCCTGAGACAAGCAGTGTGCCCGTCTCCTTCCTGTCAGCCTGTCCCCTGGGGCCTCAGCACCACTGGGCCAGAGACCTAGGACCCCCTCCTGGGAGCCCCCACCACAGAGGGCAGGCTTGGGCCAGGGCCTGGGATGGGAAGTGCAGTGGTGAGAGACCCTGCACGGGCCGCCAGGTCGATGAGTGCCTGGACGGATGGAAAAGGGGCACCCGGTGAGGCAGGGCCTGCAAACATGGGCTTCCACAAGGTTTTTTTCAGCCTTAAGATAAATACACTAATGACATTCAGAACATTGTTCCAGCTCAGAAATGGAATCCGTCACTGTCCTTTGCCTTTGATAATTAATTCCAGCGTCAATGATCTGAGAGTTACTGATAGTCATTTTTTAATCATCATCTCATAAAAAGAATTTTCTCAGCATAGGATGATGTTTCAAATTTAGTCTATAATCTAATTAATTGGCTTAAATTAGCTGCAAGGAACCATCGCCATGACTGCAGTCTCAGGCTGTGAATTATAAATTGGTTCTGCTGTTGGCCTCTCAGATGTGTTCTTTATGGACATCTCACTGGGCTCAAGAATGAATGTTGGCTGGGATGGAACTGTGTCTACTTTGAAAATGGTCGGTGTGTTATTGCTGCTGGTGTCTATTTGCCTGATTGGCACTGCAAGCTACCAGGCTGCCTGCAGCAGGCGCCATACCCAGCAACTCTTTCACAGGGGTCGACCTGTGGCCTGGGCCTGGGAAATTCCAGGCCCTCTCCTGTACCCAGCAGGCCGAGGCCCAGCTCATGAAAACAGGTTTAGGAAACACCCCTAGAGATTTAGCAAGGCCAGTCCCCCTGGGCGTAAGGGCCTGACATCCACCTGCCTGGCCCAGCTCCCAGCTCTCAAAAGCTATCAAAGGTGGGATGAGGGACAGGTTTCCGCCAAACAAAAGCCCTCATGAGCCCAAGCTGAGCTCTCCCGCGTGGGTCCTGCCCAGTCCCTGTGTCCACCTGAGTCAGGGCGTCAGTGCCTTGTCCCCAGCCTGGGAGTGCAGTGCTTACTTCTGCAGGTTGTCGGGGGTGCACACGTCCTCATCATACAGGCCATTCGTGTCCAGCAGAGTACCTGTGGGGGAAAAGGGGACGACAGCAGTTGCTGCAGGTGGGGCCCAGGCAGCCTCTAGGGCGTGGTCTCTGTGGGCACGGGCTAGCCAGGGGCAGCAGAGTGGGGCCCTTCCCAGCAG